GTTACAAGGAGAAGATTGAAAAAGAAGGTTTTGAACCAGCTAAACAGCCACAGCCTAAGTGATAAAACTTTGAAGAGAAAACAAGAATATGTCTGAATGAGTGTATGTGGTAACTGAGCAACTGTGAATTGGTATATTGGGACTCTTTTGTGCCCAAGTTGAAGAAAAGTAGTGACAAAAGACAGTTTAGCAACATATCTTCACAGTGATGCTTGTGTATAGTCTGTTATTTTGTTGTTCCTATAGAAAAAATGCATCATAATCTGTAGTCTTTTAGAGAACTTAAACAGCAAGAGAATATTGTTTGGTAATAATGTTCCCTGATGTTTGATGGTCTTTCAAATAACATCATATGCTTACTATCTGAGTGTTAATGGAGGCAAGAAGCAGTGTTCTTAGTTATTATCCTTCAATGCAAAGGTTATGAACAAAATAAACTCTTACTCGTCAGCCTTAGATGGATGACATTAATAATGTAGTAAGGACCTATCCCCAGTGATGTCTGTGTTCAGCATCACCAGCCATGTCTCATCACATACATCTGACAGAAGAAAATGCTTGAGTTGTGGTGCAACACAATTGTCTGTTATAGCATGTTTACAGATCATCAGGTCCTTTTAGGTCCTTTCTATATAACTGTAATATATTGATCATAAAGATTTTTTATATCTTCTGGAGTCAAATTCATTTCTTTTTCAAGAACTGATGAAAAATGTGGTTAAATGTAACAGGTTATATTTTGGATTTACAGCTTTCAGGAATTGTGCCACTTTACACTTGTCAGAGGGGTACACAAAGTATGTGATCTACACTTTCAGTTGTCAGACTTCCATTTTTTGTGGAAGCCAGAATGTCTGAGTTGGTTAGATTGCTGACTTGGTGTGTTGGCGATTAGGTGTCTCACTCTGAGAGTAGGTTTGAATCCCAATCCCAAAAAGTTCTAGAACCTGTACAATACTGATAAAGTGTAATCCCAAATATAATGTCTATATGTTAGGCTGTGAGATTGTTGAAATATTTCTTGGGATATCAACAATGAAGACTTGTAGAATCCCCAAAATGTATATTATTTGTGTCTGTTCATAATTTGTATACCGGTATTTGAATGCAGCACAATTGGTTCTCTTACAAGCATAACACACCAATTGAGCTAAGAGGTGAGGTGAGGTGAAATTGGATTTAACGTCGTGCTTGAGAATATTTCGCTCATATGACGACGTGCATGCACGTGTGTCGTATGTGCGGCTGCTTGTACTAGCCCAGACTTAAGCTGGTTTTATAGTGCTAGCCCACTGAGATACCATGCCGCAGTGAAGCATGGATACCTCACTCAGACACATTATACTGACTTCGAGACGGCCAGTCCTTGTTGTACCCATTAATGCCGAGCGCCAGGCAGGGACCAACAAGTACCATATTTTAACGTCTTTTGGTATGACGCGGTCGGGGATCGAACCCACGACCTGACGCTCTCACCACTACACCACAGAGGCGGTCAATTGAGCTACGAGGCACTGATTCCCAGAAAGAAGTAATACATGCATGATCAACCATGTGCATTAATCGGTGCCCCTACCAAAACTTTCAAATAGAATCCCTGACCGTGATTTGTGAATTGCAACAATGTCAACCCTTGGCAACCCTTTGGCTTAACACCTGCAACAAGTTTTTACCATTTGTGTACCGTTAATACCTTTCAGCATAAGATCCGGGGTAGAATAGGTCTTCAGCAACCAATGCTTGCCACAAAAGTGACTATGCTTGTTGTAAGAGGCGAGTAACAGGATCGGGTGGTCAGGCTTGCTGACCTTGTTGACACATGTCATCGGTTCCCAATTGCGCAGATCGATGCTCATGCTGTTGATCACTGGATTGTCTGATCCAGACTCGATTACTTACAGACTGCCGCCATATAGCTGGAATATTGCTGAATGCAGCATAAAACTAAACCCACTCACTCACCTTTCACTTTCAGCATATTGTTTGTACAGGATAGAAATGGTGTTTCGACCTTGACCTCTGACAAGGATAAAAGTACTGATCATGCTTATGGAGAAGCTAAAGTGGATCAGAATGCGTTGTATTCTCACAATGTAGGGGTCCATAGCTGGGTTCAAACAAACACAATTTCAGAAAAAGGACATGCAGAAATATTGAACAGGCACCTGCAAAGTATATGGGTCAAACATCAAAAAGCACCACAAGAAACATGTACTATGGTACTCTGCAAATCATATCCCTACACATGCAAATTTATAACAATTCATGCAACAGTGGATGAATGATAAAAATATTACATTTTCAATATGGCTTTAATGTTTAAACTCAGACAGGAATTCTGTGAGCACTTTTTAAAGACATCATAGCTAGGACCATTACAGCATTTCAGCTCCAAAGCTCAGGAGTTTCAGAGTGGATGTCTAAATAGAAGCAGTTAGTGAAAGACCTGCCGAGGTCTAACTACAACATAAGCTCCACATGCCTTGCAGACCTAAATCTGCAGCAAGGAAAGAAGTACTGAACACAGCATCATGGTGGGCAAGACAAACAACTCGAGGAACATTGATTATGTTTATTTGTATTTTTTAACAATGACAATCTGCCTGCTATACAATCAGTACAAACACATGGTTGAAAGGATGATGTAAATTCAAACAGCGCAGGTGTTTGTTGATAACTTATTATTCATATCAAGAGTATAAAACTATACAATACTGTATTACTGGGGACAATCAAGGTCATGGGGAAGGTATCTAAATCCCATTCTTGACAAGAAGTGGGTGGTGTCATAACCACCAGACTTTATCATCGAGATGGGTTTTTTTACATATGTTTCATGGCACAAACTGGATCACCAGTTACAAACATTTATGTCTTCCTTTTGAAGTTACATATCTTGTAAACAAGTCAGTTCTCATATTATGTAATACTTTTGTTAATTTCATCAAGTTCAAAGTATGTTTAAACTATATCAGTGATGAAAACTAATAAAGAGTATCTACTCGGCTGAATGGTTAAAGAGTATCTACTAGCCTGAATGGTTATAACAGGGTAAAACACCCCCATCCCATCACTAAATGTATGAAATTTTACAAGCCATTAGGATACTTTTAACATTAACAAAACCAAACAAGACTAGCAGGCTGGTGGTCTTGTCCATCCCTCATATGGTTCAGACAGACATTTAGAGGGAGTGAGAGAGTTTAGTATTACGCCAAACTCAGCAATATTCAAGCTATATAGCGGCGGTCTGTAAATAATCAAGCCTGGACCAGACAATCCAGTGATCAACAGCATGAGCATTGATCTATGCAATTGGGATACGATGACATGTGTCAACCAAGTCAGTGAACCTGACCACCCCAATCCCGTTAGTCGCCTCTTACAACAAGCATGGGTTACTGAAGATCAATTCTAACCTGAATCTTCACAGGTTTTTAGAGGGAGTGAGTAAATATAGTTATACAATATTGCAGCAATATTACGGCTGGGGACACCAGATAATGACTTCACACATTGTACCTATGTGGGCAATCAAACCTGGATGAGACGAGCAGATGCTTTAATCATGAGACTACCCACACCACCTCTGCAGGTAGAAAACTCGAGTCAAGAGATATCACATGGATTGCAGCTTGACTTAATATATTACAGTATATACTAATAAACAGTGACATATTGGAAGTGATACAAGCAGGAAGCTACAAAATTAACTTTCCTCATTTGTAACTTCCACTGCTATGAATTGCAGTCTTGTAATTACCAACGGGTGAGGTGAGGTGAAATTGGGTTTAACGTCGTGCTTGAGAATATTTCGCTCATATGACGACGTGCATGCGTGTGTATGTGTGTATGCTTGTACTAGCCCAGACTTAAGCTGGTTTTATAGTGCTAGCCCACTGACATACCAGGCCGCAGTGAAGCATGAATACCCTACTCAGACACATTATACTTACTCTGACCCGACCAGTCCTTGTTGTATCCATTACTGCCGAGCGCCAGGCAGGGACCAACAAGTACCATATTTTAACGTCTTTTGGTATGACACGGTCAGGGATCGAACCACGCGACCTTCTGCTCTCAGGGCGGACGCTCTAACCACTACACTACGGAGGCGGTCGCCTCATTTAGGGCTTTAGCATTGCAGGGAGGGCTAGGCAATAAGGAAAATAATGTGGTTCGGGGACTGTGAGACAGACTACTACAATCTTTAACGTGGAATCGTGTCCACGTGTATGTTCTATAACTTAAACTTCTAATACATCCACACTGTTGTACTCTACAGCATGATTTTATAGACCCGTTTTGGTGTGTGGGTAGAGATTGCCTACTCTCGCAGTGAACCCTGCACTTACAGTGTAACTATATAGCCCCTTGTTCTATAGTGAGTTTGTACAGATTGTCTACTAGTCTGTCTCACAGTCCCTGAACCACATCATTTCCCCTACTACCTAGCCCTCCCTGTAGTGCTAAAGCCCTGAGGCTCATTTCCAATGGGGATGAACATGAAGTGAGTGAGGGAGTTGGGTTTAATGCCACTTTGAACAGTATTTCAGTTAGAGCATGGCTGCCAGCATAAACTGGGATTAAAGACTACAGTGATGCAGATCCTTGAGACATTATAACATTTATACACAGGGTATGGTGTCAATAACCTAAAGGTGATGATGAGACAAATCTTGAGATTTCAACCCTGATAAGATCCCTGAAGGGATGGAGCTGCAGCACTTTGTTGACTATAGCAATCTGTGTCACTGGTAACATCAAGAGACTTGAGCTCAATTTTTATACCATGATTAGTACATCACACCCTGACACATTTCTTTACTAAGTCCCATCAGCTAGTTTCCCTACAAAACCAATCTGTAAGAGTTCAGTCACACACTGTACACTGGCTGTAGTTGTAGGTAACCTGGGAATGAATTCACGAGTTGATGAAGATGATCCACACAAATCAATGTTGTATCACCACAGTTGTATGACAAGTGCAGTTGAGGTTGTGTCTGCTGGTCCAAATGACTTTCCAGCACAAACTACTGAGCAAAACACAGTCCCATGTACCTGGAAGGGTTCTGTAGAAACCCACTGTCAACAATTCAGGTATATATTTGTACGCTATGTCAACAACCTCTTGGCAACCCTGTCCTTCAAAACATTTCTGTTTCCATGGCAACCTGGTGTCCATCTTTGACTGGGAAAAGAGATGGTCAACTCCCGAAAGTGATATTTTCTCAGTTTGTATATTGATGTCTGTCAAACAACTTTCTTCTGCTTGACAGGGGCTGATTGTCATACTGAAACATAGAACATTGTACCAATCGGTTAAAGTCAGTTGAACACTAACAGGCTTCAGTGCAGTATATTGGAGAATAACAGACCAGGTGATTTTGTGCTTTACATAGAACTGTGGATACCGGTACTGTCTAAGGAAACATAACTGAAGCACACAGTAAAAAACTATGTGTGATACTGGAATTTAATGATTTCATGATACATTGTAATATCTGTCAATCTACCATCGCATTAAGATCAGATTCCTCACTTCAGTTTGATGCCTCTCTGGGTGAACTTTGTCTGAATAAAGAATGCCTGATCTGATGTTGGCTTTCAAAATCAAGGTGGCTTCATTTCTTTACCTCAAAATGTTTCTACTTGTATAAACAAAACCCATTCAAAATGCAAACTGTCCTTTGCTGGTAATTGCTTTTGATTACTGATGGTATGTTGCTTAGCAACAAGTTATAAATTACCCATACTTAAATTATTACATAGTTTTAATTGGTTCCATTAAGAGCTGATACAGAAATCAGATTTCCCCATCAGAAAGCTTCACTTGCTCGTTTTGGGCAGCTTCAAAACTGACCAGAAAGTTCACCTGATGTCCTCACATCTAAACACACATAGGTAACACGTGAACAAAAAAACTGATTTCAATGTTTTCCATTATGTAACAGGTAAATAAAGGAAGGGAAATCACTAGCAATCTGAAATTGGAGCTGAACTTTACATACTGAAGGTTACCATGATTACTGTAACCAGAGTTACGATGGTTTGGACAATCGTTTGTAAAATTGTCACATTAAGCGAACTCACATTCTGGCTTGCGCTTTTGACTTTGCTGCTTCAGGGCCTGAATAGAAAATGAAAAACAACAAAGTGAGTAAGGTATCAAAACAGACTGGCAAATGAATCTCACACTGTTTAAAACTGTTACAATGTTGAACAAAACCATGAACACTAAAGACAGCTGCATTGCTGAATAGTGTTACAACCGTCAAGAATAGAAGGCTGAAAGTACTGATGAATAAAGCTGCAATACTGAATGCATTGTTTGGACAATGCCAAAATGGACTGTTACTATGTTACAATACTGTCACTATGGTTACAATGCTGTCAGAAAACTGAAATTAATGCTGAATGATGTTACACAAGGCTACACTTTAACACTAGGCTACCCCACTAACCGAAGGGAGTTAGCATGGTTTTACACCACTTTTAGCAACATCTCATCAACATCATAGCACACACTGTACCCCTTGAGAATACAAACCAAGGCCTTTGGTGTGATGAGTTAATGCTTCATCACCAGGCATGAAAACAGTAACATCCAGGATTTACAGCGCGCTCACCTTCTTGATAGCTGTCCAGTCTTCTATGACTTCTAGCTCCTTCAACATGTACACAATATATGGACGTACACACAGTTAAGGTAAACATATATACTCTCATTGACCTTGTACAACTTGTATGTATAGTTTGGGAAGGGGCCAAAATATAATCGGATTGAGACCCCAGCTCTGGACTCACTTCAATGTAGGTAGTAAAGTAAAAAATACCAATATTATTAAAATCAGATCTTTTTCTAAATTTGTCTTCTCTCTGCTTCAACAAATGAGAAGTGAGTGAGCTACTTTCGTTTTACGCCGCTTTAGCAATATTCCAGCAATATGATGGCGGGGGACATCAGAAATGGGCTTCACACATGGTACCCATGTGGGGAATCGAACCCAGGTCTTCAGTGTGACTATGGAATGCTTGAACCACAGGGCTATCCCACCGCCCCAACATCTGAGGACATCTAAACATAATTTCACATTTCAAGGATGCATGGGTTGTTAAGCCATATTTGCCATCAAAATCAGTTTTCCCAAACAAATTGCATAAAATGAGTAAAGGATATCAGAAATGGTGACAGGCTTTCTCCTTCTGTCTGGGTTGAAAGGATCTGTAGGTTTCTTCTTCTTTTTCTGACTCTGAGATTCATTCCACAAATCTACAAAGGAAACAGAAATACAAATACAGAACTCAAAAACAGACAATTGGTTGAACTGATTGGCTGAGACCAAAATAATCATTGCACGACACATATTTACAAGGAGGAAGAAATGGGTTTGTTTTTCACATGTGGGAAAATTTGAGAAAAACACAACAAGTATGTGTCCTTGCATATGTGTTGTGTGACATAAATGGATACTTTGAGGTAACCATGTATTTGTGAGTACTGCAACTTCAAAAAGGACTACAACTTACATTACCCCAAAACAAAAGTTGTAACATCAGTGAAGCACATATGTATTTCCTTTCTTGTGAACCCAGGAGGATCCAGATTAGAATTGGTCTTCAGTAACCCGTGTTTATCGTAAGAGACAGCTAGTGGGATCGGGTGGTCAGACTTGCTGACTTGGTTGAAACATGTCATCATATCCCAATTGCATAAATGATGCTCATGCTCCAGTTGATCACTGGATTGTCTGGTCCAGATTTGATTATTTACAGACCGCCGCGCCATATAGCTGGAATATTGCTGAGTGCAGCATTAACCAAACAACCAACCCACCAACCTTTCTTGTGAATCAATCTTTATCCTATAGGCTGTGTTGTTGCTGACAAGACAAACTGTATAAATGTAAGGATCTGTATTTGTGAAGCCACATACCTGAAGAAATGTCGATGTTATTCCTATCTTCTTCTAAACGACGAATTCTTTCTTCCAGCTCTTGCTTCACAGTATCATACAAGATAATCTTCTCACTCTGAAATACACAAGAACCATAACTGAATCAACTGGGACAAAACTATAGAATATGGTTCATAGTATAACACTGACTGACTGTCTGAGTTTGGTTGTACGCCGCTTTTACGAGCCAACGCTTTAACCACTGGGTATAGTATAACAGGTCTTATGGTATACATATACATGACTACCTGTTTCCAATTTGAAGGATATTATACATGTCAAAATAACTGAGTGACCGAAGTCGATTTAACTCCACTGTGAACAGTATTCCTGTTATGTCAGTTTAATGTGTGAGTGAGTCAGGTTTTTTTTATGCCACTTTTAGCAATATGCCAGCAATATCACAATGGGGACACCAGAAATGGGCTTTACACATTGTACCAATGTTGAGAATCGAACACTGGTCTTACTATGAGGCTACCCCACCGCTCCCTTTAGTGTGTGGGGAAAGCCAGAAGTAATGCAAGTCTTCACCATTTACCAGTTGGGTAAAACCAACAAGCATGAGTATGGTGCTGAAAATTGGTCAAACATAATCTGGGCAAACCAGGATTTAATGAATTTTTGGCAAACCCAAGGGACACAGTTCTACACAGTGAATCATGGTGCCTTAGATGACTGGGACACCGATGCCCCAAAATATGTTAAGACTGAAAAGGTACTGAGCACAACTGACCACATTCCGGTTTAATACACAAAGCAGTTTGCACAAAATAGTTACCTCCATGTTCTGATATGACGACAACTCCTCACTTTCAAATCTATTCTTAATACAAGCTATCCGTAATTCTCGAAGAATCCCTGAAACAATAACAGTCTATATTATTCAACATGTTCTTTACCTATGCAATACTGAAGACAATCAAGTACCTTCACATAAAATACAGATAAGCCTACATAAGCTATTTGTTTGATGCTTGAGATTAATTATACCCCTTGAATGGGTATTCGCTAAATAATATTCATACATAAGAGACCATTATGATCATTATGAAGTAGATCTATTATACCATCAATTGAAATAAGTGAATATCAGTATCACTTGTTACTCAGGGAGAAGGCGACCATAAGTGGTGCACTTGTGCCTAATCCCGTTGTCTTTTGGACAATAAAATATGTTTAAACTAAACTTGTTACTCGTATTGGCTATTTAACATTCATACATAAGAGAGTGATTATGAAGTAGATATAGTCCACCATCAATAGAAACAAGAGGGAATCTCACCTGCCACCTGAGTACGAATCCTCATGTTGTCCTGCAACTGTGCCAGTGGGTTCAGATATTCTATTGCTTTTCCAGCCTTCACCTCCTCTAACTTTTCTGATACTTGAGCACTTCTCTCTCTGTACAGTCTGAAAACATGGATAAAACGCTTATTATCAAGCAACAGGCTAAATTCTTAGTTAAACTGCCCCAAGATTATTTGTTATTAGATCTCCATAATCCATTAAACCCATTTTTCTCTCAATTATCAGTTGGCTGAGCTTGGATAATTCTACCAAATAGTTGATTATCCTACCAAATAGTTGATAAAATAAACACAACTTACTGTTCTTTTAATTCACTGAACTGTCTTTCCAGTTCAGTCATATCATCAAGGCATTCATTTCTCCTTCGCTCACTCTCCTCCTCATCAAGATCTTCAAAAACGACACAAAACATAACAAATACATTCATATTGTATCTTAGTACAGAAAATTATTGATATCACCATATTATGTTTTCAGATGTCTTATGTTTGCAGACGACAGTGTTTATTCTGGGTATAACATGGCGTGTCGCATCACACTGACTATGTAAAAACTCAGATGAGTTGTTTTCAATTGTTCATGCGATAATTGAGAAAACAAGGGATGTTCTAAAACGTCTGACTGACTGACTGACTGAGTTTGGTTTTACGCCGCTTTTAGCAATATTCCAGCAACATCACGGCGGGGGACACCAGAAATGGGCTTCACGCATTGTGCCCATGTGGGGATTCGAACCCGGGTCTTCGGCGTGACGAGCCAACGCTTTAACCATTAGGCTACCCCACCGCCCCTAAAACGTCTGAAAACTCATAACACGATGATAAGTGTGTTGGTAGTTTGACAATCTAGATGTCGTGATATCTTTCATGGGGTTGTTGTATATTTAGAGATGACATCCCATGCAGGGTTTTTCCAAAACGTGCAAGATCATCAAATATGACCAAACTTGACTTTAAAAAATTGTCTTCACCAGTCCTAAAGCAGGAATATCTTCTCGGGATCAGTACATCGTACATGAGATAAATATTTTCAAATTGTGAATCATGACTTCAAAATTTGAAATGTCACTTCGGTAAGAGCTCCGCCCGTACCTCCCACTTGAAATGTATTCTATTTATTAGGATTATTTCGAGGGTTTAGGGTGAGGTTTGGGATTAGAGTTTAGGTTTAGGGTTAGGGTTTAGGGTTCATGGTATACTTGTGACACTTAGTTTTCCTTACCCGAGGTATCTTCGTCTTCTCCCTCCGATGTTGCCGACCCCGTTTCATCTTCGGAAGACTTATCGCTGTCCCCCGGATCGTGGTCCATTTCTTCTTCTTCCGTTTCCCCGCGGTCGTTTTCTATCAATGGCATGCCAAAGTCAACAGTTTGGCTGTTCACCTTTCCCAAGAGAATTAGTGATATTTGAAAACGTAAACAAGCACCTGCCGCCGAGATGCATGCGACGCACAGACGGAACTGGACACTGCGCCTGCGTAGAAGAAATCCCATGGAAAATCCCTTTCAATGCTATTTTTAGATTTGCTGCCCGCGTAAACTATGGAAGCAAATGTGTGTCTGTATTCGTTGTTAATGAACATACTTTTTCTTGCCCACCAGTAGTCATCGTTTGAGTGTAGCTGCTTGTTTTTAACACCAAATTTAATATTTTTCTTTACTTCACAGCAAAAAAGAGAATTTATTGATTGTTGTCTAATTTTCATACAGATATGGAAGTTTTTCTGTAACCTGTCTCGACCAAGGGCAGCATTTAACAAGCGTTCGCTCTCATTTTCGACTTGCTTTGATATTGTTTTACACAATACACATGTATTCTGAACTTGGAATTTCGATTAAACGGAGACATATGTTTTTGACTTAACGTTTTCAAACACACTAATACAATGTGTGAAGCCCATTTCTGGTGTCCCCTACCGTGATATTGCTGGAATATTGCTAAAAGCGGCGTAAAACTAAACCCACTCACTCAAATACACTAAAATGTACGAACGCTTATTGTATCATTGCTGCTATTCCAAAAACAAACGTAGTTTTGAAATTCGAGACCACCCAAAACTCTATATTTTTAATTAACTTACTGAGCTGAATTTTAATAAAAAAGACTTTGATCAAGTTAATAAACTTCAGTCGAATTTCTAGGTCATCCTTGAAGGTATATCTCGTATCACACGTACCCGGATGTCGCCTGGGTGTACAAACTGAATTAAGACCCACGCGTTCCGTTATCTGAATCTGCAAAACAAACTATCACTGTCGGTCCCGCGGCCTGTGTGTACCTCATGTTTTCCAAGTGAACGCAAAGTATCGACCCGTCTTCTCAGTGAACGACGGATAAGCGAGACTATATCTCGCGTCTCCCACCCGATACGGAGGACTACAGACCGGTAGATCGACAAACCACAGCCTGAAAATATACATATTTTCCTTATAATATGTATTGATTATGGCATGTTTCTACCAGTAACAGATTGCGCGTAATTGTTTTGTGAACGAATTTGAAATTTATTGGTGAATTATCCCGCAGGATTAAAATTAAAACTTATAATATCCTGGTGTCTTTTACCACGGGTATGATAAGTATACGTACACCAGCAGTAGGTATTATTACAGGTCTACAGTTCTCTGTAAATAGAGCCTCTTTTGAATCATATCTCATTAATCTTGAAGCCCAGTGTTAAAACACAGCTCGACAGGTATAGACCCGCTGTATGTCTGCTAGCGCGTAGCATTGTTGTGATCAGCTCAGAAGGAGTCCGACACGTATCGCCGCTGTCACTTAAAAAGGGTGGCAGACCAATTGACACGAGTCAGATATGAAATATTAATAATGACATGATGCGAAATTCCAGCATCAATAATACAGCATTGCTTGATGGTGTTGTGAGTGAGGAGCTGGGATCGATCGCTGATGCTGTGTGTACGGTGTGCTACGTAGACCCAGTGGCCATTCCCATGGACAAGCTGTCACCACCCGGTCAATGGGAATGTTAAAAGACACACGGCAGGAATGACGTAGCGGGCGACGTCACCAGTAGCGGTATGAACGACAGGAACCCCCGCCACGTTGAAGACAGAAGCTATAAATAGGGAGGGGAATATATCCCTGTCATTTTCAACACCATTCCATTCGGCGGGTCTTGTTTGAAGTTGCAGTATTAGAACTGACTACAAATTTAAATTCAAGGATCACTGTGTTCCCGAGATAACGTTCTACACAACCTCTGTTGTTAATACTACCGGAGATGGGGAGTTTAAGGATTACACCTGTGCACGTGGCTACCTGGGTCTTCATAGTCACTGTTGTGAGCGGAATTGAGAGGTGAGTACAGCGTCCTTCTACAATACTTTATGGTTAAAGCAAATATATATTATATCCATTTATAATTGCGTTAAATTTAAGCATAGTCTATATCCAATCCCAATATACTGAAAATCAACACAAGCTGTATAATCAAAGTCTCTTCTATGCATAACATAAACAAATATTTTAATACATAATACTGTTTATAAGATATAAACACGATGACAGGGGACATGCCTGCAGACAACGAAGCTATTACCTTCAGAGACAAAATCAATAAAACATTCCTTGTAGTTTACAAACCATAAAGGGAATTGATTTTTCAGATTGGAACAATGCCTTTTAGTTTAGAGAGACAATGTGCAATGTACGCGCATGCGATAGTTTGGAATAAGCGGAATTAACCAAGTATTTTTGCTCTATGGTGTGTAAGTGTAAGCGAGAGAGGTTCAAGTGAAGTAACAGTTGAGTATATAATACAGTATACAATGTACACGTGCACTCTTGTATATAGAGTAGTTACGGATCTTAATGTCAAATGTGTAAAATAAGCTCGAGTTAATTGGCACAACAATTACTCCACGCTGTTTTGTTACATATAACATAGTTCCAGCCGGTGGTATTACGCTTTAAAGGGGGGAGTGGCCCGCCCAGATTAGCATTACCAGCGCTTTTGAGGCCGGCAGTTAAAGCCCATAATGTTTGTCCGCTATCTTACATTGTATTATAAATATCAGACTATCAGTTTACGATTGTCCTAATTTCTCATAGGACAGGAAGCATACATAGCACACGCACACACGCACACACGCACGCACGCACCACTAGTAATGACCGGCTTATGATATCGGACCTCTAATATAATTGATTCGCCCCCTGAAGTAAGTTCCCGAGCTTCTAAGAGGAAGTATATGATATTCGCTGTTTTAATCTCCAACTTGTCCCATATAGCTTGTTGGGCACCGTCTCGATGAATCAAAAGCCGATCTGTAGATTGCAGGTTTTGAGATTGCAAGATAAACTTATATATTGGGTCCCTCGGCGTAGTGTGTTAAACACGGAAGTTAATGATAAAACGTTAATATGCTATATATAGGTGCCTTAGTTTCTGAACAGTGGACATGTAATTGCCACATCTCTACTTAACAAAGTAACCATAGGTCAGCCCTACGACAGTCGCAAGTTCATGTTATCGCCCTTAGCGCTAAGATCGCTTTGTACAGCGGCACCTAGATGTATAACAGAAACTTCAGTTTGCACATATTTGCACTTGATATGTAAAGGGAACAAATGCTATTGGAAATACCGCTGTCAGCTGCTTAGATCTATGCAAAAATGCTGCTGTGTCCTAACGTTGCAGTATTCTTGGTTTGTAACGTATTCATTGGTGGCTACTATAGACCACCAGTATCCAAATAGGATATGTATTGATTAAAGGGGCGGTAGGGTAGCCTAGTGGTTAAAGCGTTGGCTTGTCATGCCGAAGACCCAGGTTCGATTCCCCATATGCGTACAATGTGTGAAGCCCATTTCTGGTGTCTCCCGCCGTGATATTGCTGGAATATTGCTAAAAGCAACGTAAATCCATACTCACTCTCTCAGTATTGATTACAAAATATCGGAGATTTAATGTTTTGTCATTTGCACTTTCCGGTAATCGTGCAGCATGTAACTCCGTTATTTGCCGACAGGGTTAGTTTGGAACATATGGCATGATACTAATGCAGTGTGTATAGTACAGAAGAATATTGAGCCAACATCATTACATAATCCACAAGACCAGAACCTTATTCCTTTCCTACTTAGGTCGATCCTACGGTTTAGATAGAATAGAAGCCAATATGGAAGCACTATACTAAATTTTCTCTTATTTCCAGCCAGAGGAAGTACTGTGAAGTCAGAATGTGGTATCTGGACTTGGTGACAGATGGACCGCTAGCTGGAGAATTGTCGGAAGATAAAGTTATTCTCAAAGCAAAGATCGAAAAAATGATGGAGAAGTACAAGACAGTTGGTAGACCAGACGGCAAGGTGGATTGTCACATACTGACACTGTACGAGGAATTACTACGAGCAGACGATAAACCACCAGAACCACCTGGAGGGGAGAAAGGTTCCGTCGATGATCCGGAACAGGTCAAGGACAGAAATGACAACGAGAGTCCCCGGCAAATACAAACGGACAAAGAAAAGAACGAAACAAAAGAGGCTAGCTCTAAAAGCGTCTCTGAATCCACCGAGTCTTCAGAAGACGATACCGATCTTGATGAAACAGAGTTTGGGGACGAAACAGACGATGAGACTGCAGAACTGAATGAATCTGCTTTCCCGTCAGACACAGCCTCTGTTAGTGTAAAGGAACAAGAAAAAGCTGATATTTCAAAACAAGAAACTAAAACTCACCTCAAACAGGAAGACGAGCCCGTTAAACCCAAAAATGAACCCAAGTCAGATGCTAAGGAGGATGCGAGTCAACAGACAGCAAGTAAATCCGGCAAGAAGACACGTATGGTTGAGGACTTTGTATTTGATCCTCTCCGAGGATATGTCAAAGTCACGAAAGAAGTTGAGATTGATGACGAGGAGGAAAAGGCTCCAAAAGAAAAACAAGAATCGGATAAATCTGTAAAATCAGATTCTGATGCAAAACCACACATGGAAACAAAGATAACTCCACCGGAGACAGAGACACAATCAAAAGAGAAAAATGTACAGGAAGAAAAGGTAAAGGTAGAGGAGACTGTAAGCAATGAAGTCATCTTGCAATCTTCTGAAGAAAGAGCGAGATCCGAGCTGAAAGTACCCCAAACATTGACCTCATTACAAAGAATACAAAGTGCTTGTTTATACAAAGATCAGTGTGAACTGTATTGTTACTATGGGTTTTCCAACCGCATGTGTCTTGAGCATTATCCTGATATAGAATATGAAGTAGTTCAAAGATTTGAAGCAGTGATAACTGAGCCAATTAGCGAGAGTTCCAAAGAAGAGACCTCTGGTGAGAATGCTGAAGAGAGGCTGTCAGTGACTGAGATGTTACAGAAAAATACATTAAGCCAACAGGAATCATCAGTTGTTTCAGAAGCAAATCTAGATAAATCAGATCCTCCTGAACCTTTGCTGGGTGACGGTACCTCAAAGGGAGGTGACCACCTGTCACAGACACAAAATGACAAAAAAGAAACAGACGAGTCTGAGGAAAATCCCAAGGATAAATGGGATAAACACATTGAAACGACAAAGGAACAAATTGAAGAAAGAGCAGATGAAGGATCTGCAAAAGATACACACTACCAAGGATTCCAGGACTTCAGAGAGGATCTTCATAGGTTCGAGCGGCAGTTTCAAGAACGAGCTTCAGAATATGCAAGTAAGATTCAGAGTTTGGAGATCATGATTATGAAGCTGGAGAACCAGTTACTGGGTGAAACAATCACAAAGCAGAATGACAGCAACGTCTTGTCCAGGCTCGAGAATCAGATCTTGAGACTTGAGAACGACCTCTTGAAGCTTAACCAAAATTATGTGACTTTAAAAGAAGAAAATGACATCTTGAAAGCTCGCCAAGGGAAATATCTCAAATTGGGACATGATAAAGCCAACCCTAATCATCCATCTCTGACTGACAACAGCACGAAGCACTATGAGCTGATAACACAACAGCAAAGCAAGATATCAGAATTGTCGACCATTTTGAAGAACCACTCGACTCTGTTCAACCAACTTCAGAGCAAATCTCAACATCTTGAAGAACAAAATCAGATGCTGTATCATATCGTCATGAACCAGACAGCACTCATCTCTAGTGTTATGAAGAAGATGCAAGATTTGTCAGAGGAGGCTTTGAGGCACCGGCATGAGACTGAGCAACTCAAAGCCAAACTTGAGATAAAAGATAACTCAGATCGAATATTGGAGCGATTGGACAATCTTGTCTCGGGCACACCTGCCATATCAAAGAACGTTGTAGACGACGGTAAACCGGAAGAGAAATATATTCCAAATACTCTTTTAAGTTTCTTTCCCAAATCCCCTGATGCTATAGTAGAGAGGCGTCCTTGGTCGTGTGGTGGTATGAACAGCTCTCGTTTTTGTGTGATGTATTCCTTAATCTTATGCCCATGTCCACCTTTTTCGACTGTTTATTGGAAAAAGTGTCCATACTTTCTAAAAGATATTTCGAGAAATGACACAAACGTCAAAAACATCTCTGAGGTCACTGCTTCTGAATCTGACAAGAAAGATGACCCTGCTGCCGAAGGAGGTTTTCAGACCAGTCATCTTCCGGTTAGCGATGAGAAAGAAAGTAAAGATGATATTTTAACGAAGGAATTAAAAAGTGATGACACCAAGACAGCTACTGAAGGCACTGTAGGCGACAGTAGTTCCTATGATAAGCAGGACAATTCCAAGACAGAGGCTGATTCAACAAAGCAATCAAATGACGTCACGTCCCCGCGACCCTTTGACCAAGCACCTGCTCCTGAAACTAAAGGTGATGAGACAAAGACGGCTTCTGAAGGTGACAGCAGTTCAAAAGATACACAGGAAAATCAACCCCCCAAAGAAGAGGTTGATTCAGTGAAACAACCTCAGACTCCCGAGAAGAGGAAGATTCTCTACCAACAAGAAGGGGACACCCCGAAACCTCGAGGTTGGTTCCAGCTCGTATTAATCTAGACATAAAAACATTCATCGTGTTTGATGCAACGATACTACCACGTACGCGAGGTGATCGTCCCAGCTGTTGTTCTCGTTATAGATCAATCTTTGTCATCAAATAATGGTGACACACCTTCTTTCAGATAAATCTGTTCCATTAAAATCAATAGGTTTGCCCAAACACATGTTGACACAGCCGTTAACAGAGAAACAATATAAACTGAATGATAAAAATTAAGTTATGTTGCGGAACATGTGTCACTAACGATACTATGCGAGTGAACTACTCCATGAATTCAGCAATAATGAAAAATAAGTAATGTTTTGGACTCCACAGCTGCCACAAACTTTGGCTTAATACAGAACATAGACCAATGTCATGTACTATCCATATAACATTTGTGAGTTTATTATGTGTCGTGCATTATTATTCGTGAGGGTCCGGGTTAGCATTGGTCTTCAGTAACACATGCTTGTCGTAAGAGGCTACTAACGGGATCGGGTGGTCAGGCTCGCTGACTTGGTTAACACATGTCATCGTATCCCAGTTGCGTAGATCGATGTTCATGCTGTTGATCACTGGATTTTCTGTTCCAGACTCGTTTATTTGCAGACCCTGCCATATAGCTGGAATTTTGCCGAGTGCGGCGTTAAACAGCACGCCAACCAGGCAACTATAAACATCATGCTATAGAATGTACAACACAGAGACATGCTTAGTTTTCAGCGCTTATGGAGTAATGATATTATCCACACTATCAGAAGTGGGCACTTTTCCTGTCAAATATGCCTTAGCTAAAAGCTGACCATGTAAGTTAACGTTTTTAAAAGCCCCGCATATCTAAGCCGAGTGTTTCGTTATATAAGTTGCTCAGGTCATCCTGTTCGTCATCCACATCATTTCGTTTCTTGGTTACCCAGGTTACCGTTTGAAGTGGGACCTGTTTGGGGGTTACCTGTACTTAACCACTTAACGTCTTTGAGTTTAATTTAACCACTTAACGCTGCGTACTATCCATCTGTATACTCATAGCTTATTTATTTCTCCAGTTCACCGTGATATGTGTCCGTTTGCGTTTATTTAGGCAGATCCTGTCAACCCTCTAAATCTTCCTCGGCAATTGGTATATGTATGCTGAGCCTGTTACCCGTTCCTAAAAGTCCCTCTGTATATATTAAGTTGATCCATGCGGGGGGCTGTTAACCGACTTAAGTGTCCATCAGTACTCAGCCTGTCTATGATGAGCCTGTTACCCGTCTTAAAAATCCCTCTGTATTAAGTTGATCCATGCGGGGGCCTGTTAACCAACTTAAGTGTCCATCAGTACTCAGCCTGTCTATGATGAGCCTGTTACCCGTCTTAAAAATCCCTCTGTATTAAGTTGATCCATATGGGGGCCTGTTAACCGACTTAAGTGTCCATCAGTACTCAGCCTGTCTATGATGAGCCTGTTACCCGTCTTAAAAATCCCTCTGTATTAAGTTGATCCATGCGGGGGCCTGTTAACCGACTTAAGTGTCCATCAGTACTCAGCCTGTCTATGATGAGCCTGTTACCCGTCTTAAAAATCCCTCTGTATTAAGTTGATCCATGCGGGGGCCTGTTAACCGACTTAAGTGTCCATCAGTACTCAGCTGGCCTATGATGAGCCTGTTACCCGTCTTAAAAATCCCTCTGTATTAAGTTGATCCATGCGGGGGCCTGTTAACCGACTTAAGTGTCCATCAGTACTCAGCCTGTCTATGATGAGCCTGTTACCCGTCTTAAAAAATCCTCTGTATTAAGTTGCTCCATGCGGGGGCCTGTTAACCGACTTAAGTGTCCATCAGTACTCAGCCTGTCTATGATGAGCCTGTTACCCGTCTTAAAAATCCCTCTGTATTAAGTTGATCCATGCGGGGGCCTGTTAACCGACTTAAGTGTCCATCAGTACTCAGCTGGCCTATGATGAGCCTGTTACCCGTCTTAAAAATCCCTCTGTATTAAGTTGATCCATGCGGGGGCCTGTTAACCGACTTAAGTGTCCATCAGTACTCAGCCTGTCTATGATGAGCCTGTTACCCGTCTTAAAAATCCCTCTGTATTAAGTTGATCCATGCGGGGCCTGTTAACCGACTTAAGTGTCCATCAGTACTCAGCCTGTCTATGATGAGCCTGTTACCCGTCTTAAAATCCCTCTGTATTAAGTTGATCCATGCGGGGCCTGTTAACCGACTTAAGTGTCCATCAGTACTCAGCCTGTCTATGATGAGCCTGTTACCCGTCTTAAAAATCCTCTGTATTAAGTTGATCCATGCGGGGCCTGTTAACCGACTTAAGTGTCCATCAGTACTCAGCCTGTCTATGATGAGCCTGTTACCCGTCTTAAAAATCCTCTGTATTAAATTGATCCATGCAGGGGCCTGTTAACCGACTTAAGTGTCCATCAGTACTCAGCTGGCCTATGATGAGCCTGTTACCCGTCTTAAAAATCCCTCTGTATTAAGTTGATCCATGCGGGGGCCTGTTAACCGACTTAAGTGTCCATCAGTACTCAGCTGGCCTATGGTGAGCCTGTTACCCGTCTTAAAAATCCCTCTGTATTAAGTTGATCCATGCGGGGGCCTGTTAACCGACTTAAGTGTCCATCAGTACTCAGCCTGTCTATGATGAGCCTGTTACCCGTCTCCAAAAGTCCCAGCCCTGTATTAAGTTGCTCCATGCGGGGGCCTGTTAACCGACTTAAGTGTCCATCAGTACTCAGCCTGTCTATGATGAGCCTGTTACCCGTCTTAAAAGTCCCCCTGTATTAAGTTGCTCCATGCGGGGGCCTGTTAACCGACTTAAGTGTCCATCAGTACTCAGCCTGTCTATGATGAGCCTGTTACCCGTCTTAAAAGTCCCCTTGTATTAAGTTGCTCCATGCGGGGGCCTGTTAACCGACTTAAGTGTCCATCAGTACTCAGCCTGTCTATGATGAGCATGTTAACTGTCTTAAAAGTCCCCTGTATTAAGTTGATTCATGCGGGGGCCCGTTAACCGACTTAAGTGTCCATCAGTACTCAGCTGGCCTATGATGAGCATGTTAACTGTCTTAAAGTCCCCTGTATTAAGTTGATTCATGCGGGGGCCCGTTAACCGACCTAAGTGTCCATCAGTACTCAGCTGGTCTGTGATGAGCATGTTAACTGTGTTAAGTTATTCTGCATTTAGCTGATCCATGCTGAACCTGCTAAGCGTCCTACGTCCCCTTCTTCATGATGCATGATCCATGCTAAGGTTGTTAACCTTCTAAGTGTCCCTCTGATCCTTGCTGAGCTTGTAGTCGTGTTTAGTGTCTATATATATATCAGTATTTAGTATATATGTTGAGCCTGTTAAACCTTTTAAGTGTTCAACTGTATTTAGCTGATCAATGCTGAGCCTGTTAGCCTAGTTGAGTGCCCTTCTGTTTTCCTCCCCTCAGACTGCTGGGAGTACTACGAAGAGGGCCAAAATCGTAACGGCATGTACAAGATATACCTGGTGGGTCTGCAGAAGAGCATCCCGGTGTACTGCGACATGAGGGGCGGGGGCTGGACCATCCTTCTTAAACGCAGCAGTAGCAGCATTGACTTCTACAAAGATTGGGCTGACTACAAGAAGGGATTCGGAGGTATTTATTGTCTTAAGTGCTTCTGTTTCCTTGTACCCGTTCGTAATTAACATCACGTCTTGTGTTTTCCCTTCACTTATACATGATTTAGCCTTGTCGCCCTCCATGGTACAAATGCTTTTCAAGAGGGTTTTTCGAGCACCTGGTGTCATCACTGATTTCAGCGACCTCTTCAAAGAATTTTCACCTCTTTTCTGACGTCCATAGGAATCTGTTCCAGGGTGCCGTTGTACAAAGCAACCTTAGCGCTTACACCCGTATACCTAACATTGACGTACGGCACCCGTATACCTAACATTGACTTACGGCTGTCGTAGCACTAAGGTCGCTTTGGCATAGACGTTTTATATTCTCATCGATTTTACATTAAATAATGACTTGTAACAGAGACTATAAATATTTTGTAGCCCTACTACGAAATTGGAAACATTGCCAAACCAAACATACAATTACAGGATAATAGGACAATGTTTTGTAATGGCTGTGATGTGGTTGAAAGAAGAAATTACGTACCCTCGACTGCTCAACGTACAAAATAGTAACATACCATCATACGTGGTGCAAATATTACTTCATCTGAGCTTGATAACGGTGTTAGAACATGCACAGCAACATCTCCGTTGCTGTTGACTCGTGAAGATCCGGGTTAGAATTGATCTTCAGCAACCCACGCTTGTCTTAAGAGGCCACTAACGGGATCGGGTGGTCAGGCTTGCTGACTTGGTTGACACATCGATGCTCATGCTGTTGATCACTGGATTGTCTGGTCCTGATTCGATTATGTACAGACCGTCGCCATGTAGCTGGAATATTGCTGAGTGTGGCGTAAAACTAAACTCACTCACTCTTCATCGTTGTAATAAAGTTGTTCATTAGTATATGTTAGCCTTATTTAGTACTCTAGCTTCAAATAAGCCTCTCGAAGAAAAAACTCATGTTTTCGTGTTTAATGACTCTCTGTGTCTGTGACCGCCTCCGTGGTGTAGTGGTTAGATCGGGTTCGATCCCCGACCGCGTCATACCAAAAGACGTTAAAATATGGTACTTGTTGGTCCCTGCCTGGCGCTCGGCATTAATGGGTACAACAAGGACTGGTCAGTATAATGTGTATGAGTGGGGTATTCATGCTTCACTGCGGCATGGTATCTCAGTGAGCTAGCACTATAAATCCAGCTTCAGTCTGGGTTAGTACAAGCAGCCGCACATACACATACACACGCATGCAAGTCGTCATATGAGCGAAATATTCTCAAGCACGACGTTAAACCCAATTTCACCTCACCTCTGTGTCTGTTGTCTACAGGTTTGTACGCGGACCACTGGATTGGTAACGAAAATCTCCACTACCTCACAAACCAGAAGAACTATCTCCTTCGGGTGGACATGGATGACTTTCACTGGGACAGCGTGTATGCCGAGTACGACACCTTCTGGACTGACAACGAAGAGGAGGGGTACCGACTTCACATCTCGGGGTACAGTGGCACCGCCGGGGACAGTTTCCTTAAACACAACAACATGAAGTTCAGCACCAGGGACGTTGACAACGACCTCGTCAACAAAGAATTGAAGGCATTCGACCACAACTGCGCCAAGCGGTTCCACAGCGGATGGTGGTACTATAAGTGCTACATGACCAATCTCACGGGACGCTACTATAAGAAGGGGGTAGTTCCTGACAAACAGTATGATGGTGTTTCGTGGAAAACGTGGAAAGGTCCGTCGGAGTCATTAAAAGAAGCAGTGATGAAGATTAGGCCTGTAGGAGTGACAGCCTAGAGTTTCGTAGTGGTTAGCGTGCAATAAACTATCATCTTTCCAAAAAGATCCTCAAGGGTATTAACAGAATATTACGCCAAACTCATCGTGGAATCATGTCCATGTTCTACTGTATGTACATATTCATTAAGAAACTCATCACCGGACACTTCTTTAAACAAGTTCCATGTCTTAAGTGTGATCGAAAAAACGTTTCTTTTTCTTAGGTTAGGTTGTCTAATTTATCCTATTGTTTGAAATAAAACGTGATTCTACAAAATGTAAATTATGTATCTAATATGCAATTAACTGTTCATAACTGTATTTTGTATAAATATGTTTTGTTACCAAGAGTTTAAACTGCTGGAATCTATTCTTCTTGTATCACGCTCTCCAAACTATCTCGGCAAATTCAGAGTGCCAACGCTTTACATAGACATTGTTTCAAGGTCAGCGTCAAAACTGTTTTGCATGATATCATATTGTAATTTTTTCTTCAAAATATCTGTCATTCAACTTTCTGCTAAGAAATCTGGGGCAAGGGAGATGCAGTCCTCGATAGCGCCGCAATTAGATACGCAAAGATGCGTCCGTGGGTCACGAAAAAATGCTACGATCGCGGGTTCGAATCCCGGATGCACAAGACCCGGTTCGACTACTCACATGGGTACAATGTGTGAAGCCCATTGCTGGTGCCCCTCGCCCTGATATTGCAAAAGCGGTGTAAAGCTAAACACACTCCAAGGTAGGTACCCTATATAATACTAGCCTGAACCAAATATAGGCCCAATGATAATTTAATCAGATTTGGCTCTGACTTTCTAATCTATTTAGTGTTGAGTGAGGGTTTTCCTGATATTTCCGTATTGACTGCAAAGCAGTTGGACGGAGGACAAAGCCGCCATAGCTGTTCCGAAAGAGAGAGGGCTTGTGTGCATGTGTGCGTGCGTGCGTGTGTGTGTGAGAGAGACATAACATTTGAAGTATCTCCCGCCATATGTGTGAGAGGTTGATTTTAAGTTATAAACAGGCCTATGTGAGCTGGTCTTCAAGATTGTATCCTTCATGACGGGGGCCTCCCTGTTCTCCATACTCCTCAGTGTTAATCAAAGTAATTGTAAAGTTATTAAATATTTTCATCTAAAAGTTCTATATATAACCATTTTCCCTGCCTAACTGCCATACAATTCACACCCCACCAATCACGCCTGGTATTCCCCTGATGTATGTCAGACCTTTGCTCAACCCATCCTCAGCAAGTACTTTAGGTGTTGCTATGAGCAACATTTATCTCATGACAAATGTTTGGTGAATGACAATCAGATGCTTTTTTTTATCATGATCAACATTCCATACCTATCTAAACCTTTGAGGATAACGACTTCTTTATCCTTAGAATTCTTAAAATAACTTGTTGTTATCCAAAAAAAGTTCATAGCTTCAGGTTTGACCAACTTCAAAATGCTTCTTAAAGACCTTATAACAATTAAATGTGATTCAAGCCTCTCAAGCACATCACTGTCTGTCATGTCAATTTTTTTTATACATGTAGCAGTTATTGAGTACCCTAATCACAAGGAGATAGTGTGTCAGTTATCAGCAGATAATTATAGAGCATTGTGACCCTTTCAAGGACAAGAAACAACATGACCAAAATATTACACGTCATGTAAAACTATTGTCATTATGAGAGTAAAAGCAAATGGTTCTCAGATAGAACTTACTCAAAAATATTTAATTTCTAATATATTTAAGTTTTAATTAAATAATGTTTCACATGGGTACAGTTAATCCATATATTTAATAGGTTGTATCTTCTGAGATAAGAAGACGATAATCTAGAAGATTTCAGATTCACATTTTTGTGTGTGTAACCAGAGGTTTTGGAATAATATGTTTAACCTTAACATGCCACTCTTCTAGTATGTTTGGTATTATGCAAATAATCCATTTAGTGAAATATTACAGAAACTCTTTGTTAAAATTAGTAAAATGTTTTCTTCGTACCGAGTAGTCAACTCTCTGAAAAGACAAACAAGCTTGCTGTTTACATGAGGTATATGAGACTGGTATATTATTTCCATAACTGTGCAATGTGCCTTTCACCAGTTAAAGTGCCTTCTTCATCCTCCACAGCCTGCAACTTGGCAGGCACCTGCAATCAGTACTTAGCTTGATATCCTATATTTGTATCCAAGTCCATGTATATATGTAAATTATTGACTGAATGTATTCATGTTGAATAAATATCATTTGTACAATACTATGTCTCCATTGTTAATGTATGAGGTAGTTCCTTCAGCTGGCTTTTCATCAGAAGTGGAACCGCCTCCGTGGTGTAGTGGTTAGAGCGTCCGCCCGGAAAGCGGAAGGTCGCGGGTTCGATCCCCGGCCGCGTCATACCAAAAGACGTTAAAATATGGTACTTGTTGGTCCCTGCTCTCGGCATTAATGGGTACAACAAGGACTGGTCGGCTCGGAGTCAGTATAATGTGTCTGAGTGGGGTATTCATGCTTCACTGCGGCATGGTATCTCAATGGGTTAGCACTATAAAACCAGCTTAAGTCTGGGCTAGTACAAGCAGCCGCACATACACATACACACGCATGCACGTCGTCCTATGAGCGAAATATTCTCAAGCACGACGTTAAACCCAATTTCACCTCACCTCACCTCATCAGAAGTGTGTTCGCTGCTAAAACTCCAGCCCATTGGGATTTGGAGGGGCAATGGTTCAGTATAATCCTGATCTCTTCAAGGCCCCCAAACCTGTGAAGATCCGGGTGAAAATTGGTCTTCAGCAACCCATGCTTGTTGTAAGAGGCGACTAACGGGATCGGGTGGTCAGGCACTCTGACTTGGTTGACACATGATATCGTATCCCAATTGTGTAGATCGATTCTCATGCTGTTGGTCACTGGATTGGATTGTTTGGCCCAGACGTGATTATTTACAGACCACCCTCATATTGGTGGAATATTGTGGCGTTAAACAACAAATAAACAAAGAGCCCAAAAGAGATTTTGTCGCTCAAATTGATGATCTGGTTGATTGTATGTCTTCTTCTGACAATGTGGGTCGCTGCTCATACAGACTACCATTTGAAATTTTCTATCATTGTAGAGGGCATTTGTAATTACTTAGAGAATGGTCGAGACGTTGAGAAGGGGCTTCTGTAGCAGGGTGCTTAATACAACCAGTTGTTTTATACTATCAGGAAGCCAGTGCAATCACCTGAACATTTCTCCCAGTGATACAAGACATTCCTCATTACATGGATCACACATGGATTTGGATGGAACTTTAGCCTTGCATTTCTTTGATAAAACTCACCAAAATTACAGTCTAAAACGTTTCTACAAGAGCAATATGAAGTTCATTTTCTTGCCATTACTTGGATATACAATGTCTAACTGCCATTTGACACAACAAAACAGAGCTTCTTCAGACAGATCTAGGCTTCTTAGAGACCAACCATTCGATATTTAAGGGGATACTTTTGAAAAATTAAACAAAGTTTCCGGAAAACGTCGAAAAACCTATCTGACCAAATATCATGATAAAAAATAAAGATATTCAGATCTTAAAGGTCAATGCAACGTAAAACACAACTTTGCAGATTCTTATACCTTTCGGCGAAATCAGGGTTTAAACGATTCACTAAATTCACCCCAGCTGGGGTGAAAAATGGTTTCCACAGCTGTGCTGCGCTGCACTGCACTGCGCTTATGGCGCATGCGCAGTGAATAGGTTCGCGCAGCTTGGAAGCGGGATGTCCGGATTATAAGGTCGTGAGCAGGAGTAGTCTAATCTTGGTTGTGTACACAAACAACAAATAGTAAATAATCTACTCGTTACATAAAAGAACCTTGTTAAGGATCTGGCGGTGAGTACTCGGAGTTGGCTTTGATGTTCACGAGCTATTTTTCTAATGTTTTGTTGATATTACACAGTCGCGAGCTTTTTATATGTTATGACAGAAGATTACCGTTTATATAATTTCATTTGACAATTTCACCACACGTTGTTCTTACCGAGTCACTTTCTCCGTTCGATACTTAACATCAACGTCATTATTTAGCATTGTCAGAATTTCTATCTGTGATATATATGCTTCTGTCACAGACAATACACAATGGCTGTTTTATTTACACCTATGTGTCTACCTGCCTGTCTGCTAATGACAATCACTTCGATCACTGACCACATGCAATTTGAACACCTATCAGTCTATACACCATAAACAAAACGCATTGATTTATTGCTCGTGCACCCGAGTTCTGTCTCTGTCACATTATGTAATTACACAGACAGGCAGGTGTGATACTTGTACACATGACATGTTATGGTGTCTGTTGTTTGCAAAATGTTATACACAAAAAATGAGCGCGTGTTTACAAAACCAAAGATCTCTATACACACACAAAGAGTGTATGGGCAAATGAACCAGCCAATGCAAAACTTCGTTACACTTGAGTGCACACCCACCCGCTCTGACTGGGTTCGGTATCCCGGTTGCTTTGTTTCGAGGGAAGAAAACCCAAGTACAAAATATTGCACTTTCGATTTGCGATTGTACGCTTATAATTTGGTTATTTGTTTTTTCATAATCAGCAATGTATATTATATGTCATGAATAAGTGAAACATAATGTCTTGAAGCAGTTCTTTCTTAAGCAAATCTAAAATTCCATTAAATCACAAATTTGACCCTTGTTCACAAATAAAGCCATACAAATCTCTGAGAAGATCCAGATCCCAGGGTGTATATATAAACTGTATAGCTTGATTCAGGTCCATAGTTAAACACTGAGATTGAACACAATTCAAACTTTTGGGGAATATAATATATCTTCTATTTAGTTAGCATAAAAAAATAAGAGGAACAAGCAGTTGTTTCTTAGGTGACAACACACACACACACACACACACACACACACACACACACACACACAAATCATTAATATCAAATCAAGCTTAAAGTGTAATGAAAGTGAGTTTAAGATGAAGTTAAATGTTAACCAAAACATGACCAGACAACCTCTCTTGATATCTTGCTCTGTAGCTGTTCAAACACACAAATATTTTCAAGGCTCACTTTGACCTTGACATGAATGTCATGGTGTATGGAATATGCAAAACATAGTAACAGAGAATTTACTTATCAAAAAACATTCAAGAGAAGTCTTGAAAGTCTATGAAGAACATCCAGTGACCCGTTCTGGAGAGGAACAAGCAGTTGTTTCTTAGGTGAGAAAAACACACACACACACACACACACACACACACACACACACACACACACACACACAAATTATCATTAATATCAAATCAAGCTTAAAGTGTAATGAAAGTGAGTTTAAGATGAAGTTAAATGTTAACCAAAACATGACCAGACAACCTCTCTTGATATCTTGCTCTGTAGCTGTTCAAACACACAAATATTTTCAAGGCTCACTTTGACCTTGACATGAATGTCATGGTGTATGGAATATGCAAAACATAGTAACAGAGAATTTGCTTATCAAAAAACATTCAAGAGAAGTCTTGAAAGTCTATGAAGAACATCCAGTGACCCGTTCTGGAGATATCTTGCTGACATTCTTAACATACTGAAAACTTCAAAGTGTCGTTGTGACTGGGCCCTGCGCCTTCCCTATATGAAGCCTGGTGTCAAATATGATGAAAATCTAGTGAATGGTTCTTCAGGTATCCTGCTGAGAAGCTTAACATGCAGGGTAACATGCTGAAATCTTCGAAGTGTCGCCGTCACCTTGAAAATTAAGTGAAGGTCACCAAAATCGACTGGGCCCTGCACCTTCCCTATCAGGCGCGTAGCAAGCCAATGTTTTCGTGTAAGCCCGATAGGTTACAAAGTTTCATATTTAGATAGTATATTGAGGGCTTGCCCTGCCTTTTTAGCAACAAACATGTGTAAGCCCGGGCTTTATTTTATTATGGAAGCTACGCCCCTGCCTATAGTTGAGTTTGAGTTGAGTTGGGCTTTAGGTCACATCGGCATTATTCCAGCCATATAGTGACGAGATCAAGTTTCCATTCATTACCATTTTTGGTCCAAGGTTCAAAAGAGTTCTATCTTAAAAACATATATATTCATTACATTTCTATTTCAAAACAGAAAATGTCATAGCACCAAATACAAAAGCAAGCAATTTGTTATTCTATTTACAAAGTTACAATTTATGATACAGGTCAACTTCCCTCAGGTAGTTTACGATCAGATGCCCCCTCACGCGGGAAAACAGATCTTTCAGATTTCTTGCATCATAATGTGAATCCCTTGCAGTTGAAAAGTCCACACAGTCAAGCAGAATATGCTTGATGGTGAACACTTCATCGCAAGAGCCACACATGGGAGGTCCATCCCCATCCGTTTTCAGCAGATAGTCATGAGTAAACCGACTGTGGCCAATACGACATCGTGGTAAAATTACCTCATCACGTCTTGACTGACAACCAACGTAGGTATATAACCAATTCCTTCCCTATAGGAAGCTTGGTGTCAAATACTAGTATGATGAAAATCCAGTGATTGGCTTTTGAGGTATCTCGCTGACAAGCTTAACATGCAGGTTAACATGCTGAAATCTTCAAAGTGTCGTTGTGACATTGAAAATTATGTGAAGGTCACCAAAATCAAATGGGCCCTGCGCATTCCCCAGATGAAGTTTGGTGTCAAATATGCCAGAAAATCCAGTGATTGTTTCTCGAGGTATCTCGCTGACAAGCTTAACATGCAGGTTAACATGCTGAATTATTCCCTAAACATGAAGAAAATCCAGGGAACCGTTCTTGAGATGTCTCGCTGACAAGCTTAAAGGTCATAATTAAAACACAATTATCACTTAGTCATGACATATAATATACATTGCTGATATGAAAAAACATATAACCAAATTATAAGCGTACAATCGCAAATCAAAAGTGCAATAATTTGTACTTGGTTTTTCTTCCCTCGAAACCAAGCAACCGGGATACCGAACCCAGTCACAGCGAGTGGGCGTGCACTTAAGTGTAACGAAGTCTTTCATTGGCTGGTTCATTTGCCCATACACTCTTTGTGTGTGTATAGAGAACTTGGGTTTTGTAAAGACATGGTAATTTTTTGTGTATAACATTTTGCAATCAACAGACACCATAACATGTCATTTGTACAAGTATCACACCTGCCTGTCTGTGTAATTACATAATGTGACAGAGACAGAACTCGGTGCACGAGCAATAAATCAATGCGTTTTGTTTATGGTGTATAGACTGATAGGTGTTAAGTTCAAATTGCACGTGGTCAGTGATCGAAGTTGTGTATTGCATATTGTCATTAGCAGACAGACAGGCAGACACATAGGTGTCAATAAAACAGACGTTGAGTTTTGTCTGTGACAAAGGCATATCTGTATCACAGTTAGACATTCTGACAATGCTAAATAATGACGTTGATGTTAAGTATCGAACTGAGAAATTGACTCGGTAAGAACGTGTGGTGAATTAGTCAAATGAAATTATATAAATAGTTAAATCGGTAATCTCCTGTCATAACATATAAAAAGCTTGCGACTGTGAAATATCAACAAACCATTAGAAAAATAGCTCACATCAAAGCCTACTCGAGTACTCACCGCCAGCGAAGGTTTTCCGTCTTGAAATGTGGAACGCCTCACTGGTTGACACATAGCTGAGTAGATCATCTAGATCCTTAACAAGGTTCTTTTATGTAACGAGTAGATTATTTACAATTTGTTGTTTGTGTACACAACCAAGATTAGACTACTCCTGCTCACGACCTTATAATCCAGACATCCTGCTTCCAAGCTGCGCAACCCTATTCACTGCGCATGCGCCATGAGCGCACCACAGCACAGTTGTTGAAACCACTTTTCACCCCAGCTGGGGTGAATTTAGTGAATCGTTTGAACTCTTATTTTGCGGGGTTTTTTCATCGCGTCATTTTTCAACTTTATAAGTTGAATTTGCATTTTTGATCATTTGTAACTGTAAGTCCATACCGAAAGGTATCAGAATGTACAAAGTTGTGTTTTACCTTACATGTGACCTTTAGGATGCAGGCTAATATGCTGAAATCTTCAAAGTGTTGTCGTGACATTCAGATTTATGTGAAGGTCACCAAAATCGACTTAGCCCTGCACCTTCGCCATATGAAGCTTGGTATCAAATATGAAGAAAATCCAGTGAACGGTTCATGAGATATCCCGCTGACAAGGGTAAAACGTTAAAGTCCCTTGTGACCTTGAAATGAAGGTCAAGGTCACCAAACCTGACTGGGACCTCTCTTATACTGTGATGAACCTAGGTAACAAGTATGAAAAGAATCTAATCAATGGTTCTTAAGATATTCCAATTCGTACGTACGGATGGAGCCTAATACTATTTGCCCCGCTTCACGCAAAACGCGCGGCGGGGAATAATGACAAAGGCATGAATATTTGTCGCGATACAACATAGTTATTTACAAATCAGACATTCATCCATACACATAAAACCATCTTGTTATTTCTTTCCAAAAAACAGTTTTGACTTAAGTATTTTGGGCACAACTCTGATGGTAAGTGAGACCCGAGTGCCTCTTTGTAAAGTGTCCCCACACTTGGCAATTGAGCACATGTCTATGTTGGCCACATGGTCTGTGATGGAGTCGACTGTTGTCTCCGCGATGCCGTGTAGATGAACTTTGTACATGTCCCCCATGACCAGGACAAGACTGCGAGGCTCCAGCAACATCGACTGAAAGTACCGGTCCTTGAAGCAGAGAGATGTCTGAAACATGAAACATGAAGCCTTTACTCCCTGACTGACCCAACTTGAAACTGGCAACATACTCTCTTGAAACCAGCGTGACCTGAAACACACAATAAGATCCTTAACACCCTGACTTGCTCAATCTGAAACACACAACATGATCCCTAACACATTGATTGGCTCAATCTGAAACACACAACATGGGTCCGTTTATGATTTATGGCTAAGGGGGTGATGATGATTTTTATGGAGAAACATGTACAATGTGAATGCCCCCTGCTAAAATTTATGTACAAAATCAATTACCTCCCCTCCTTCCCATAATTTTTCAGGATTCAAATGTACAAAATTGATGAACTCTCTACCTCCCCAGAACAAAATGGGTGAACCAACCAACAACCTCGACCCCCCCAACCTCCATTCACACCCCCTAGCCATAAGTTATGAACGGTCCCTGTCAGGCTCAATGTGAAACACACAATATGATCCCTTAACGCCCTGACAGGCTCAATGTGAAAACACAATATGATCCCTTAACACCTGACAGGCTCAATGTGAAACACACAATATGATCCCTTAACACCTGACAGGCTCAACATGAAACACACAATATGATCCCTTAACACCTGACTGACTCAATGTGAAACACACAATATGATCCCTTAACACCGGACAGGCTCAATGTGAAACACACAATATGATCCCTTAACGCCCTGACAGGCTCAATGTGAAACACACAATATGATCCCTTAACACCTGACTGGCTCAATGTGAAACACACAATATGATCCCTTAACGCCTGACAGGCTCAATGTGAAACACACAATATGATCCCTTAACACCTGACTGGCTCAATGTGAAACACACACTATGATCCCTTAACACCTGACAGGCTCAACGTGAAACACACAATATGATCCCTTAACACCTGACTGGCTCATTCTGAAACACACAATATGATCCCTTAACACCTGACAGGCTCAATGTGAAACACACAATATGATCCCTTAACACCTGACAGGCTCAATGTGAAACACACAATATGATCCCTTAACACCTGACTGGCTCAATGTGAAACACACAATATGATCCCTTAACACCTGACAGGCTCAATGTGAAACACACAATATGATCCCTTAACACCTGACAGGCTCAATGTGAAACACACAATATGATCCCTTAACACCTGACAGGCTCAATGTGAAACACATAATGTTCCCTTAACACCTGACAGGCTCAATGTGAAACACACAATATGATCCCTTAACACCTGACAGGCTCAATGTGAAACACATAATGTTCCCTTAACACCTGACAGGCTCAATGTGAAACACACAATATGATCCCTTAACACCTGACAGGCTCAATGTGAAACACACAATATGATCCCTTAACACCTGACTGGCTCAATGTGAAACACACAATATGATCCCTTAACACCTGACTGGCTCAATGTGAAACACACAATATGATGTGACAGGCTCAATGTGAAACACAATATGATCCCTTAACACCTGACAGGCTCAGTGTGAAACACACAATATGATCCCTTAACACTGACTGGCTCAATGTGAAACACACAATATGATCTCTTAACACATGACAGGCTCAGTGTGAAACACAACAGTGAGATCCATTCACATCTTTACAGAAGAATTTCGTCCCAAGGCTCTGAACTCTCTGCCACTGAGGTACAATTCTCAGTTTTCCCAACTTAACTGACACAAAATGACAAAAGCAATGAGAATGTAAAATGCTCACCTGTGTTTCTTCCCCATCTCCCTCGTCAGGGACGTCCTTCAGGTGGTGGTAGAAGTCTAGCAGAGTATGAGAGCCCAGACTAATGGTGGACACTGTCGGGTAGAACAGGGGGCCATCCTCGTGGGGCTGTAATGACAACATGGGGATAAATACACACCCTTTTCCCCTCAAGCAAAACAGATCTCAAAAAGTAATATGTCTAGAATAAACTAGTGAGAGAGTGAAGAGTAAATGACAGGATACTGTAGATAGTCGTATGAGTTGTTTCCCCTGACCACTGACCATGATGCCCTGTCCAGGCAGGTACTCATTGACCAACACATGGTTTGGCATCTTCCCATCAAACACCCCCAGCTTGCCGATCTTCTCACACTGGGTTAGCAGCCACTGTAAACATACACACACACAAATATGAAACACGAAAGTGAAACAATTCACTCAAAGTTAGCTGCTACAAATCAACTTGAAACATGATGTAGTGGACCTGTAGCCTGTTGTAGTGAACCTGTAGCCTGTTGTAGTGAACCTGTAGCATGTTGTAGTGAACCTGTAGCCTGTTGTAGTGAACCTGTAGCCTGTTGTAGTGAACCTGTAGCCTGTTGTAGTGGACCTGTAGCATGTTGTAGTGAACCTGTAGCATGTTGTAGTGTACCTGTAGCAGCCTGTTGTAGTGAACCTGTAGTTGCATGTTGTAGTGAACCTGTAGCCTGTTGTAGTGAACCTGTAGCATGTTGTAGTAGCAGCCTGTTGTAGTGAACCTAGCAACCTGTAGCATGTTGTAGTGAACCTGTAGCCTGTTGTAGTGAACCTGTAGCATGTTGTAGTGAACCTGTAGCCTGTTGTAGTGAACCTGTAGCCTGTTGTAGTGAACCTGTAGCATGTTGTAGTGAACCTGTAGCATGTTGTAGTGAACCTGAAGCCTGTAGTGAACCTGTAGACTGTTGTAGTGAACCTGTAGCCTGTTGTAGTGAACCCTGTTGTAGTGGACCATAGCATGTTGTAGTGAGACTGTTGTAGTGAACCTGTAGCCTGTTGTAGTGAACCTGTAGCCTGTTGTAGTGAACCTGTAGCCTGTTGTAGTGAACCTGTAGCATGTTGTAGTGAATAGCCAGTGAACCTGTAAGCCTGTTGTAGTGGAACCTGTAGCCTGTTGTAGTGAACCTGTAGCATGTTGTAGTGAACCTGTAGTGAACCTGTAGACTGTTGTAGTGAACCTGTAGCATGTTGTAGTGAACCTGCCTGTTGTAGTGAACCTGTAGCCTGTTGTAGTGAACCCTGTAGAACCTGTAGCCTGTTGTAGTGAACCTGTAGCATGTTGTAGTGGACCTGTAGCATGTTGTAGTGAACCCTGTAGCTGTGTTGTTGTAGTGAACCTGTAGCATGTTGTAGTGAACCTGTAGCATGTTGTAGTGAACCTGTAGCCTGTTGTGTAGTGAACCTGTAGCCTGTTGTAGTGAACCTGTAGCATGTTGTAGTGAACCTGTAGTGAACCTGTAGACTGTTGTAGTGAACCTGTAGCCTGTTGTAGTGAACCTGTAGCTGTAGACCTGTAGCATGTTGTAGTGAACCTGTAGCATGTTGTAGTGAACCTGTAGCATGTTGTAGTGAACCTGTAGCCTGTTGTAGTGGACCCTGTTGTAGTGGAACCTGTAGCATGTTGTAGTGAACCTGTAGCCTGTTGTAGTGAACCTGTAGACTGTTGTAGTGAACCTGTAGCCTGTTGTAGTGAACCTGTAGCATGTTGTAGTGAACCTGTAGCATGTTGTAGTGAACCTGTAGCCTGTTGTAGTGGACCTGTAGCATGTTGTAGTGAACCTGTAGCATGTTGTAGTGAACCTGTAGCCTGTAGTAGTGGACCTGTAGCCTGTTGTAGTGGACCTGTAGCATGTTGTAGTGGACCCAGACTGTTGTAGTGAACCTGCAGCATGTTGTAGTGGACCTGTAGCATGTTGTAGTGAACCTGTAGCTGTGTTGTAGTTGTAGGAACCTGTAGCATGTTGTAGTGAACCTGTTGTAGTAGGACCTGTAGACTGTTGTAGTGAACCTGTAGCATGTTGTAGTGGTAGTGAGTGGACCTGTAGCCTGTTGTGTAGTGAACCTGTAGCCTGTTGTAGTGAACCTGTAGCATGTTGTAGTGAACCTGTAGCATGTTGTAGTGAACCTGTAGACTGTTGTAGTGAACCTGTAGCCTGTTGTAGTGGACCTGTAGCATGTTGTAGTGAACCTGTAGCATGTTGTAGTGGAACCTGTAGCATGTTGTAGAACCTGTAGCTACGTTGTAGTGAACCTGTAGCCTGTTGTAGTGGACCTAGCCTGGACCTGTAGACTGTTGTAGTGGACCTGTAGCCTGTTGTAGTGAACCTGTAGCATGTTGTAGTGAAACTGTAGACTGTTGTAGTGGACCTGTAGACTGTTGTAGTGAACCTGTAGCATGTTGTAGTGAACCTGTAGCATGTTGTAGTGAACCTGTAGCCTGTTGTAGTGGACCTGTAGCATGTTGTAGTGAAACTGTAGCCTGTTGTAGTGGACCTGTAGCATGTTGTAGTGAACCTGTAGACTGTTGTAGTGGACCTGTAGCACTGTTGTAGTGAACTTGTAGCCTGATGTAGTGAAACTGTTGAAGGCTGCAGTGAATAGCACTTGTTTTTTCTTTCTAATTTAAGTGCATTACATATTAATTTACGAAAAGTTAATTTTTACAGGTATTTTTCTCATTGAATTGAAAAGAGTTCATTCATTTGAACCATGTGTACTTTTAATCTTCAGAACTATACATTATATTTTCAGCCCCTAATAACTATACATGCTAACCTTAGGAATGTCCTCTGCTATCATTCCCTTGGGGTGAGGCAGGCCCCCTGAAATAGGCAAAGTCAAGGCAATGTGAGTGAAGCCTGGATTGTTTGGTGTCCCTCCAGACTGATTTGTTTGTTTGTTGTTTAACACCACACTCAGCAATATTCCAGCTATATCAGCGGCAGTCTATAAATAATCGAGTTTGGGTCAGACAATCCAGTGACCAATACATGAGCATCCACCTACACAGTTGGGATACGATGACGTGGCAACCAAATTAGCAAGCCTAACCACCCGATCCTGCCAGTCGCCTCTTACGACAAGCATGGGTTGCTGAAGACCAGATGTAACCTGGACCTCCAGATTGACATACAAGCTTAAAATAAACAACCACTAAAGAATAACATACATACATTCAGTGTTAATTTGCTTATAACTAGTGTCCGACTGACAGTGTCAAATTCATATCCAGATGAAGATATTTCTGAACTGATAATGTATCTGTGAATGGAAATGTCCCCATCACAGGGGTAGAAATAACTTTAAGATTGCTAGTGTACTCCGGTACAGTGGCACATGTAAAGTCACTTGAATGCCCTGATCATTTTTCCACTATACCGGCCGTTTTTTTGTTGATTTTTAAATAAACAACATAATTAATATTGGAAAGTCAACTGGACACCGGTACAGTGTGATATACAAATTTGCTTGCCCGACAGAAAAAAACACTGGACTCAGGCATCGGGCAATGGGTTATTTCCACCCCTGCATCATTACATGTAGATGTTCTATACAGGAATTGTATAGGATGAGTGTTTCAGAAGTAATGCTGATCAGATTAACTGGTTTCAAATGTATGTTTCAATGACAAGCAGAACTGAAATTTCTTGAGCTCTGTTCGTAAGTCAGGGCTCGATTTAGTGCTTTGTTACTTGCACTCGTGCAACTCCATATCACAAAGTGCAACCTAGTTATTAGTCAAAAGTGCACCATGTGCAAGTCAATTTTTGAGAAATAAATCAATAACAAATCGAAGTTTGTCAGTTAATTTTTCTTCTAAACTTTGAATAGCTATGGCACTGAAACATTGCCATTTGTAGACACTTCTCGGCTATGACAGCTCTTGTAAACAGGGATCAGCTGCGTATCTGTGTTGCTATGATTTCATGGGTACTACGTCACGGAAATATGTTTATGTGCACCAAAACATCTGACGTTTTAGCACACTACATTGCAACTGGAATTTGGCTTGTGCAACTAGGTTTTCATCTTAGGTTGCACCTGGTGCAAGTAGGTTAACATCCCTTAAACTGAGCCCTGTAAGTGTATAGTTCCTAGTTGTAATCTGAAATGATATTCCTTGATTCTTAACAAAGTACTCATTGACATTTATAATTCATCAATTTATGTCACATTGGAAATTCATGGACATACTTACCCCAATTCTGTAATCGTCTATTTGACAGGTGTGTCCATTTAGGCTTTGGTGCAGCATATACATTAGCAAGAAGGGATTCTTCTTCTTCCTTGGTGATGAACTCCGAAATGTAATAGATTGATGGAGCAGCCTGCATCAGCAACATGAATGAAGATATTACGTATATATATATATAGAGAGAGAGACACACACACACACACAAGCAAGGCAAGAAGTGTGGTTTGTCTAAGAATTTAGGGTTTGAAGGAACCATTCATTTTTAATGTAATGACACTCCTGAGGAATAGTTTGGGAATATATGCTACTAACTGGCTAAGGATCAAAATTGGGTTGATTCCTGGGTTTGAACCCACAATCAGAAGATCCTTGCATATCAAGGGATGTAACTCTGCAGATCAAACTGCAGCACCCTTCACCACTGAGCCAACAAAAGGAAAATAATTGTATATACAAAAAACACATGCAATAAAAATAGAAAATATACGTCATCAAGTGGAATATTGTAATCAAAACAGATTATATATATCATCAAGTGGAATATTGGAATGTAAGCGCGCCGAAGGAATATATGTGGTATGTGTTGTTATAACCATTACAAACAAACAATGATACAACTGAGCTGTCATTAGTCTTTCTCCCACATCATAAAGAATATATATTAAAATAGCAGTACTGAAAACAAGTTCATACAGTGACTAATCCAAGCCTAGATCACCCAAGGCCTAAGATTAAGCATTGTTTTGGTCTCCCTTGGGACATTTTATATTTTTCCTGTTTTGTGGGTTTATACTTAGGTTAGATAAATGAGATAAATTGGGAGTAAATTTTATTCTAAGCTGTAACATCAGCATTGTAATTGTCAATATTAATACCTCAACTAATTCTTACTTAAACTGTGTGTTTATTTGGCGTCAACTTGGGTTAATGCTTTTGAATGGCATTTAGAATTGATGTCGACTTCATTCATCTGATGAAAGAGTAAGAATATACCCTCTGAAATGTTGTGTTCCTTAACAGGCTATATATAGAGGAACTGACATCCATAAATTGCCCCCCTTTACTTTTTCGAATCTTTTTCTTCACTGGAAAAAGTTGGCAGAGTACTGAACGTATAATTGACAGAGTACTTTGTCTTTATTAAATTAATCACAATACAAATACGAATGATGAGGTTGTAGCAAGGTAAACGGCAGTCTGTTGACATGCACTGGCATTCGTTGTCATTTTAATTCAATGTTTTCAAGATTACATTAAAGTCTGTACGACATAACAATCAAAATGATCTAAGCATTGGGACAGCGATGACTACACACCCTTTTCACTCTGAACTCGGCTAGTTCTGGTAGTAGTTCAGTCATTTCTACATTCAAGCATTTTCCGTCTGCTACAGAAATTGTAAATCGTGCACATGCTTCCGGGTATCAAACCTACCGAGACAATTTTAGTACGCTACCTACGGTTGGCCAATAAAGTAACCTCCACCAGCACTAACCAATGAAATTAGTTATAAAGTTGTAAGGCGTTACTTCCTTTTCGAGCGCATGCGTTTTAGCGTCTGCATTTACAAATTTGAGCTTTTCACCTGAATCACAAACCGAAGTAAATGCATTTTTGGCTAGCGTGACGCAAATTGGAATGATTATGAAGTAAAAACTTCTTTTTTGGTTGGAAATAAAACCAATCAAGTCTTCTAACCTAAAGGTATGGCTTTGATTTGGCAATAATGATCAGTAGATATTGACTCTATTTTCATTTCAATCACTGATTAATGGTTGCAATACACTTGCATTGACAGTAACAGGGCAGTGTATGTTGTGAAGAATCTAGCTTTGCGTGTAGGAATTTGCAAGATTAAAGATAATTCGAACTGCCCTGATCTTGATCCACTGAATATATCCAGAATAGCTAAATTACTGTACCAGTGTACTATACCCCCATACACTCTGACTCTCATACACAGTGAAATATGCCACCTGGATCATACTAGGGATAGTTTCTTAGAGTTATTTTTATTGAAGTTATATGGTGAATAATGACTTAGCATTGGTAAAATCTTTGAATGATAAATCATCATCTAAATATTGTTTTCGTTTGTAATTCAGAATAAGTTAGATAGCTGTCAACAATAGACAATTATCATGAATATAGATTCTTATGACCTGATAGAATGTGTTCTCAATCTATATCAATGCAAAGCTGAATATGCTCGTGTCACGAAGAAGAATCTTAAGAAGGGTATAAAAGAGAACTGAAATCCAGTAGTGGGATCAGGGCTCCAGATAATTTTTCAACATCAGAAGTACGTACTCCATATTTTTTCACAACAGGAGTACTGGAAAACCTCAAGAGTACATTATTGTTTCGTTTCATATATACACCACAGCATTGATAGTCTTGTGTAAACAGGTCAATAAGCAATAAACCAATATATTTCTTCAGATAAATACGTCTGTAAATGATTCTAAGACCGTACACTATTGCTGTGGTGCGTACCTGCTACGTTTTCTAAATTATTTGCTACTGTATTGTGCATATTTTTTATCCGTACATACGCCGATACAGACCTTATCTGGAGCCCTGTGGGATGATATGTATTGAAAAGAAAGCATTGATTGATTGCATATTCAAGGCTGGAGAACATATTTATAATTTCACGTGACTGTTGCATCCATATAATTATTGTGATATGGGGATCATTTCACTGAAATTGGTGTTTCAAGATCATGTTTCTTTGTAGAAATAATTCATTTTTTATATTGTTATGCTGACCATTTGAGAGTATTTCCTTGACTATACAACTTAAATGAAAATGTTGTTATAGATGGTCAAAGGTGGACCAGAGTTTAACAAAAGACTGCCCAGATTTCTGCGACATGAAGACATACCAACAGATACCTTTACACCCAGGACATACCAGGTTTGTCTTTTAAAACTTATTGTCCTCTTCCAGGAATATAGGATTTGTTGCCCACTTTCCTTTACTGCTCTGCTCAACATGCTCAATCAGCGTCAGCAAAACAAAAGGATCACTGTGTTCCTTACTTTTCTAAAATGAACTAGTAACAGCAACACCTGGTCATTTTCAAGAGTATGGAAAAATGTGTTTAACATTTTAAATAAACTTTGTAGGGGATATCCCACGTCGCTTCAGGCTTTCCTTTCACACTGAACATTTGTGCTGTGATGTAACTGGAATTCAATTTCAAGTTCAATCTGCTGAAGCATTGAGATTGGGTCAAAGTTATAGCCCTCTTATGCTGTTTTTTTACTTGTCCTCAGAACAGTTTGAAGTCTTGGGCTAATGGACCAGCAATAATTTCATTTCAAATTTTGCCCTATGAATGTGGGCTTATTTTATTAATTTACATTGAGTAGGTGATGTCATTGACAGAATATGTTGCATGTACTTGTAGGTGGAGCTGCTTGATGCAGCATTACATCGCAACACAATCATATGCCTGGGAAGTAACTCTGGCAAAGCCTTCATCGCACTCATGGCCATCAAGGAGATGGCACACCAGATCAGGAAGGCCTATGATGATGGAGGGAAGAGAACTGTCTACCTTGTGGTGTCCGGTAACATTGATGCTTGATCACCTAAATTAATGAACAGGCACTAAATGTTAACAATGTATGGAAATAATTACACAAGTGTACTTTATGTTCGGGAAGCAATTAAGCATTATGAGGGGAAGCATTAAGCCACCTGAACTGAAACTTCACAATGCCAGTTAAGCTTTGAAACATATTTTTAGGCAAAACGTGAATCTAAGACTTTTCAGCTTGTTCTGAAAAATCATCAAAAATAGTACTTTGAATGACAGTTACATTGTTTTGAATATGAGTTGATATACTTGAAACAAAGAGTAAGTAAACAATGTCACAGGCTCTCTCAGGGTGGTTGGATAGCCTTGTGGTAAAAGCATTTGCTTGTCACACCAAAAACCTGGGTATGGTTCTCCACATGGGTACAATGTGTGGAGCCCATTACTGGTGTCCTATGGTGTCCTACTGGTGATGTTGCATAAATGCTAAAATCCTGAACTCACTCACTCACTCATGTATTCGACTTGAAGTTGAACTATTGTTGTTAATAAAGGTGTCACGAGATTCAAGCTCATATGAAATACTCGATTTGCTAGTTCATTTGATCTCTAGTGAGTGTTCAGGTTTCATGGTTTAAGTGGACTGAGAATGGCTACTTTCCCATTCTTGCCAACATTACCACTGCTGATTGTTTTGACCTCAGTATAGGAGAGCATTAAATTACTTTCAGATCTGGCGGCCGAGGTTGAATGGCAGATCCTCCAGCACCACACTGACCTGACAGTAGGCAAGTACAACTCCGACACCAACCTCGACGACTGGAAACAGGAAGACTGGGTGGCCGAACTCAGGGAGAAGCAGATCCTTGTCATGGTGGCAGACGTGTTTCACACTGCCCTTGACAGCGACTTCCTGCCACTCTCCAGCCTCAATCTGGTTATATTCGATGACTGCCATCTTGCAGTAGGGGACCATCATTATGTGCACATAATGGAACATCTTTCCCCTTCATCGGACGAAGAGCAGCCACAGATTCTGGGTCTGACTGCAGCCATATTGGGAAGTCGTTGCAATGACCCCTATGAGCTGCGGAATGCAATCACATCACTTGAAGCTATGTTACATTCCAGAGCTGAAACTTCCATGCTTGTGATCTCAGAGAGGTATGGCTCACGCCCCAAAGAGGTTGTGTACCAGTGTGAACAAGTTGAGCCCTTGGACATCACCTTGGTGCTGAAGACAATCCTCGAGAATGCTTTGTTCTTCCTCTACGAGTTGCAGTTCACGGAAGAAGAATGTGGGAAGAAGGATCCTCGGCACATTCCCAGGAATGCCTTATCTGAATGCCACAATATTTTGCTCCGACTTGGTCCATGGTGTGCGGCTCGAATTGCAGAAATGTTGATAACCCAAATTGAAAAATCGGAAAAATTGGAAAGCAATCCAATTCCTAAAAGACTGCTTCGCTTTGCATCAACTCAGCTTCGATACATCACAAAGGTTTTCGATAAAGAATTCACACCTGATTATGTGGTTGAAGAATTCCTCGAGTACACAACACCTAAGGTTGTTCAACTTGTCGATATTTTACGGAAGTACAAACCAGATTTAGACTTTATGATTATCAGTAACGAGGATTCCGGGATGTCGGATGAATCGGACCTGTCTGACGACTCCATGGATTTGTCTGATTCGGACGATGATGATGGAAGTCCATCTTCTCATTCTAACAAACAAATTCATATTGCTGTCAAACGAAGCATGGATGGGTTTGAGGATAGGGCCGTTAGCTGTTTCCTTGGTCCAGATGAGAAAAAGTTGATAGGAGTTGTTTTTGTAGAGCAGAGATATGTAGCATTTGCCTTGAACAAACTTATAGAGGAGGTGTGTGGCTGGGACGAGAATCTGTGCTTTATCAAGAGCAACCACCTGACTGGGCCAGGATGGAAGGGAGGCAAGATGAAGAAGGACACGGGGAGGGTGTATCGTAAGCAGGAAGAGACGTTACGCAAGTTCCGCATGCAGGAGCTCAATCTCCTGATATCCACTAGTGTCCTTGAGGAAGGGGTGGACATTCCCAAGTGTAACCTTGTTGTTCGGTTTGATCCTCCCAAAGACTACAGGTCCTATACGCTGGCCAAGGTGAGACACTGATTTATGCGTAGGGATTACCAGGCGTTGAAATGAATAGCTGCTGTTCCAAGACTTGTAGTCTACAGTAGAACTGAAGGACTTGATACTGCTACTTTCTCTCTGTGCATGACATCTAGCATGGAAATGTGTCATTCAAATAGATTTTTATCATTGGTGTTATTATTATCATTTCAATTAGACCAGGCTTTAAAATGAAATATTGCTAATCCGAGACTTGTAAAGCTAAGGGACTAGTTACTGGAAGACTGCTTTTTCTCTCCTCACTTTGAGGTTGGCATCAGCTTGGAAAAAAGTGTCATTAAAATGGATTATTAGGGCTCCTTGCCTCTAGGCAGGAGACCTATTGTAATCTTTCGGATTATTATTATTATTATTTATTATTCCGCAGACTCCGAATCGCTTACACAAAATCACAGAGATGCGCACCGAGGTGTAGATATTCCCCTTAAAAATCTCTAGGCTCTAGTCCCAATAGCAAAGGGGAGATAATTCAAAATTAATTCCAAAATTTCAAAGTTTGACAGCAAATATCTCAAGAACTAATTGTTCCAACACTTCCAATTCACTTGTACAGATGCACAATCGAATTCCCAACAATTTTGGGTCAAGTCGCTAAAACGTACTGTCTGGCAGTTATTTTTGTTGCCAGTATGGTAGATGAAGGCTTGGTGATTCCAGAACACTAATTGTTTTGACCGTAGACCCAAGAACAACTGAGATACAGCCTTTTAAAGAAGGAACTATTTCTTCTCCGGAACTTCTTAAAAGGTACATCACCCCCGCGACCCCGGCTGTATTTTGAAGATCCGCTCGCCTGTCATAAACGTGTTCTGGCTCCGTTTTGGACGATGATTTCTAGCCCTCGGATACAATATATAGAACTAAAGCCAAGGAGCCCTCATCGTTGCTTGCAACTTTATTTATCATTGTTATTATAATCATTTCCTTGTGGGCTACCGTTTGGGAGTACATGGGAACTCTTACAGATCAATGTATTATGCAGGAAAAAATAGAAACCATTTTCTAATGCTCATGGAAGTAACAGTAACACATTTGAAAATTATGGGCACATTAAGGTATTGAAGATCATTTAAACATGCTTGGGTTCTTTTTCAGTACAAGTCAGGGAATTTTAGGAAGTTCAATCTCTAAATCTATATGAACTCAGTCTGTGTTTTCAGTTCTTTGCTTGACAATGGGAAAGTAATTAAAAAATATTAGCTACTGGTTATATTTTATTATGTTCTTGGAGTAATCTAAGTCTGTTGCATCACCATGGTTACATTCATGTGTTTGTGGTGCCCCAGGGTCGGGCTCGATCTAGGGATGCAGAGTACATAATTCTGGTGGAGAGGGACAAGAAGAACACTTTCACAGAGGAACTCAAGATCTTCAAAGGAATAGAGGAGGTAATCTGACCCTAAGCCTTGTTGTCATGGTTACTGCTTAATAGTGTTGTTACACTTTAGTTAAAGGCTGGGAAGATGGCCAAGTGGTTCATGTACTTCACACAAAAGGCCTGGTTTGAATTTACACAAGGTGTAATAAGCGTGTATGTACAGCCAGATGACCTTTAGTTAAAATTCATGCATATTCGTGGGCACGGGTATCCCACTTGTCAAAGGTGCTGCAATTTGCTGTGCAAATACAGAGGATCCAAGCCAGGGATCTTTGATTGTGGGTTCAAATCCAATTTTGCCGCAGTTGTGGTTCTAGGTTTGTCAGCACCATGCTTGTGGGTTTAGCGTAAGTGGATTAATCGGAGACTTGCCACTTTCCTACCACATGATTAAACCTGACTACCTCCTTCACTCATGCATATTCACGGACTAAGCAACCCCATAAATGTGTGTAAATCACTGTCACTATAACAGGTCACCATTACTATTACAGGTTTTGATCGGGGATGGGAGAGGTAGGAAAGATTTAGCTGATGAAGCAGATGAGATCAGTCCTGATATAGTTGTGGACATGCTGCCGCCATATTGTCCAACTGACAACCCGTCTGGTCCCAAGGTCACCATGCAAACAGCCATTGCCCTGGTCAACAGGTAGCTTACACCTCACATTTAATATCTTTGAGTTAGAAGTACCATATGAAGTTTTATCATTTTTCTGTAGATTTGGTAATTGTAATGAATCTGTGTGTTTGTTTTCATGGCAAACAGTAGATTTATAGCCTACACTTAATAATATTAATAAGGCATATTATTGTCGACATACCTTTGTTTCCTTAGGTACTGTGCAAAGTTACCAAGTGATGCCTTCACCCATCTAACACCTCACTGTTCCATTGCCATGGTTACCGACACAGACACTCCAATGTTTGTGGCCTCGCTCAGACTGCCAGTGAACTCGTCCATAAAACAGGAGATAATGGTAACCCTACAACTGATCACAATAATGTAATTCACAAACACAATATTATACTCTCTATGACAGATTGTTCATAAAGAATTGATAAAATGACCCAGAAAAAATGAGCTATGTTAGTTTTTATATGTATACATTCTGCTGTTGTCCTCTCAGGGTGTGGCCATGCCTTCCAAGAAGCTTGCCAAGATGGCTGTAGCATTGAAGATGTGTGAGAAGTTACATAAAGCAGGTGAGAAATCATTTGTCAAACAGATGAACATCGCTATGTAATTAAACTTGAACACTTTTAACCGATTTTCACCTCAGCGCTCTTTATAAGTCACCCCATGGGGATTCTGGGATATAATAAATATGCCCAGCATTGTATAGCTGTTGTAAGAGCCAAAAAGGCACAGCTGGTCAGACTGTGGGATGTGTCTGATGGCTCATTTCACTCCCTTGGTTTGTCTGGTCCAGACTTAAACATTTACAGGCTGCTCGGATGTGAATGAGTATTATACTTTCACTCAGTTCATCATCTTTTGTACATATGTACAAAAAATATTGTCAAGCTCATTAAGAAATTGTCACATTGATTGCAGTGAAAATGTGCAAAATGTCATCAGTTTAAGTGTACACTGTCATCTGTGGATTTGTTGCATTACATCATCACTCTGTGTGTAAAATGTCATCCGTTTGTGTGTACATTCTCATCTGTAGGCTTATATTACATCATAACTCTGTAATATATCATCAGTTTGTGTGCTCTCTGTCATTGGTAGACTTTGTTGTATTACATCATCATTCTGTGTGTAAAATGTCATCAGTTTGTGTGTACACTGTCATCTATTTGCTGTATTGATTTACATTGTCATTGAATGTTTCTGCAGGTGAGTTGGATGACAACTTGATGCCTGTGGGGAAGGAGATGTTTGTCTATGAGGAAGAAGAGGAATGGGAAGAGGAGGACGTCGCTGGTCAGGCTCGCCCAGGGACAACAAAGAGAAAGCAGTACTATTACAAAAAAGTAGGCAAAGTAGTAGTTCACCACTTCATGATTGTCCACTTTTTCTCCAGGGCTTGAAATTCAATAAACCTATCCTAACCCATGGATCTGTTCATGAGGTTTTTATGATCCCAGATTACCCCCCTTATAGAAACAGAGAAAATTTCTACATAAACATTACGAATTGTTCAGCTTTGTAGTTATATGGGCTTAGAGCATGTCCGTGGTGTTCAACCGTAGAGCCATATATGTGGCCTTGTTATCATTATTAATAATGTCAGGATGCTGATGGCGGTGTGTTATATTTCAGGCAGCAGATGCATTTGTTCAAAGTCATGTCCGCCCAGATGAGCCCTGCAATCTGTACTTCATCAACCTCAAACTGACAGGGCCAATCACAGATGAGCAGAACACCCGCGGCAGACGCATATATGCACCAGAGGATACTGCACAGTCGCTGGGTCTACTTTCATCAAAAGAAATCCCCCTGGTGAGCTACTATCATGTACTTCAATATCACACTGAGTAATCACAGCAGTTCCCTTGTTTGGGCGTCCTTGAAATGGCTTTTAATATTGCCAAGCCAGCTTAAGACCTTCCACTGGGAGATACAGCTTTTTGAGAAAGTGGGTGCACACTTCATTTTCACGAGAGTTACAATGGTCATTTAATAAACTTTCAGGACAAAATGGGGGTGGGTAAAGTGTTTGCTTGTTATGGCAAAAACCTAGATCCAATTCCCACTGGTTTGAATACCCATATGGGTTCCAAGTTTACTGCCCAGTGTACTGCCCATTTCTGTTGTCCCTCATGTTGATATTGCTGGAATATTGCTGAAAATGGCATAAAACAGTACTCCCTCACTCACTGTTTCATATAGCTTGAGGAGGTAAGTTATAGTAACATAAATGTTTTGATCAAGTGAAATGTCTTGTTTTGTAGGTCCCTCATTTTCCAGTGTACACTCGATCAGGGGAGGTAACTGTCTCTGTGGACCTGATCCAGTCAAATGTAGTGCTTGGTCAGGAAGACCTGAAGAAAATCGGGAAATTTCATCAGTTTGTGTTCACCAGTGTCCTTCACCTTGAGAAAGACCCCATGGAATTTGCTGTTTCTAGTGCTGATGTCGGCTATCTTATTGTTCCGCTTGACAAAGGTAGGTCACAGTTCGACCAAGTAGTGATGGACACATGAAAGACTTTCGCATAAATTTGTAGAACAAAGGATCTGCATGTGCAGTCAGTGTCAGTATGTGTCATACACTTAAAATTCCAATACATTTATAGTTCAATATGTGTATGCACGGACCTATCATATGTTTTAAAAGTTGAATGTATTTTACCTGCAGTCAGGAAGTAAGTAATAACGACCGGCAGCTATATGTAAATTAATCATACCCAACTGGAAACATTCAAATAAGGAAAATCAAGGACTTTGAATGTTCCCAAATAATGATGTTTGGATGTGAAAGGTGTCAGAATTTGTGTGAAACCAGTCAAGCATTCACCACAGTGGGAACATTATGGTGTGCAATGACATATCTGTTGACATAATATGTTCAGTATATATTACCATTACTTAAAAGGAGTTGAACAACACCCTATACTTTCTTGTTACTCAAGTGGCATCACAGATTAAGGGCTGGTGGGGTAGCCTAGTGGTTAAAGTATTCGCTTGTCACGCCGTAGACCTGGGTTCGATTCCCCACATGGGTACAATGTGTGAAGCCCATTTCTGGTGTCCCCCACCATGATATTGCTGGAATATTGCTAAAAGCGGCATAAAACAACTCATTCACTCAACTCACAGGTTAGCTTTACTAATATGAAAAAAAATCTGTTTTTGCTTAACTTTTTTTGAGCAGTATGTGTGAATATTTACATAAGCCCACCATTATATTTAAGGTGATATGAATATTCAGTAATTTGCCTGAATAGTATGCTTGCATTAATGTGATATTTCCTTATTGTTAACCTTCTTTTCAAGATTTGTCCACTGAGAGTGGCTTGGGAATCCAGTGGGACTTTGTGAACCTTGTCCAGTCCACTGCCAACCCAGAGAAAAAGAAGAATGTGTTTGACAAGAAACGCGGTGTGTTTGAGTTCCGCCAGGAGGACTTTGCAGATGCTGTGGTGATGCCATCATACCGTAACATCGATCAGCCCCAACACTTCTACGTTGCTGAAATCCGTTTTGACCTCAACCCAACTAGTCCCTTCCCTTCGCCCGAGTTGTACAAAACATTCAATGAATACTACACCACCAAGTATGGGCTGACCATCACCAACACAGACCAGCCCCTCCTTGATGTGGACCACACGTCTGCTCGCCTCAACCTCCTCACTCCGCGCTACATGAACCAGAAGGGTGTGGCCCTGCCAACAAGCAGTGCAGAGACCAAGCGTGCTCGGCGAGAGAATCTGCAGCAAAAACAGATCCTAGTCCCAGAACTGTGTGATATACATGTCTTCCCAGCTTCTCTGTGGCGGAAGGCTGTTTGTCTGCCAGCTGTTCTCTACAGGATGAATTATCTTCTCCTTGCGGAGGAGATTAGAAAACGCATTGCAAAGGAAACAGGCATTGGGGTTGTGGAATTGCCTTGTGACTTTCGATTTCCACAGCTGGATTTTGGATTTGAAACAAATCCTGAAAAGTTAAAATGTGACACTGAGGAAGGTCAGGACAAGGATGTCAGTGACGATGAAAAACAGAACTCTTTTGAAAGGCAGGAAAGTCCAACAGATGATGTACATTCATGTGATTCTAGTCAGAAGTCTGATGAAAAGGATAAACTGCCGTCCAGTCCCAATGAAAGTAGTCCCCCTGTCATCTCCCGGGATGACCTGAAGGCAATTGAGGACAAGGGAGAGATGTCATCAGATAGTGATTCAGGTATTGCCTCGGCAGGCTCAGAAGTCAGTGTAGCAGACATTGGAGCTCAACCCAAGTGTGATACCAGTACAACTGATCTGTCTGCCCAGCCAAATAGCAACACACCTGATGCAAGTACCAGCACCACAGGTGTACAGTCCAAGTCTGACCATGCTGATACCACTGCCACAACCGTTCAGCCTCAGACAGACAGTGTAGTGTCAGATGCTGGTACCAGTGCCACAGCCGTTCAGCCTCAGACAGACAGTGTAGTGTCAGATGCTGGTACCAGTGCAACAGCCGTTCAGCCTCAGACAGACAGTGTAGTGTCAGATGCTGGTACCAGTGCAACAGCCGTTCAGCCTCAGACAGACCGTGTAGTGTCAGATGCTGGTACCAGTGCAACAGCCGTTCAGCACCTGACAGAGAGTGTAGTGTCAGATGCTGGTACCAGTGCCACAGCCGTTCAGCACCTGACAGAGAGTCCTGTGTCTAAGGCAGATGTCAGTGCCACAGCTGTTCAGTCCCAGACAGACTGTGCTATGTTAGAGACAGATATCTGCGCCAAAGATGTTCAGCCCAAGACAGACAGTGCTGTGTCAGATGCATGTACCAGTGCCACAGCCGTTCAGCCTCAGAGAGACAGTACTGTGTCAGACGCAGATACCAGTGCCACAGGTGTTCAGCCTCAGACAGACAGTGCTGTGTCAGACGCGGATACCAGTGCCACAGGTGTTCAGCCTCAGACAGACTGTGCTGTGTCAGACGCAGATACCAGTGCCACAGGTGTTCAGCCTCAGTCAGACGGTGCTGTGTCAGATGCAGATACCAGTGCCACAGGTGTTCAGCCTCGGACAGACTGTGCTGTGTCAGATGCAGATACCAGTGCCACAGGTGTTCAGCCTCAGACAGACTGTGCTGTGTCAGATGCAGATACCAGTGCCACAGGTGTTCAGCCTCAGACAGACAGTGCTGTGTCAGACGCGGATACCAGTGCCACAGGTGTTCAGCCTCAGACAGACGGTGCTGTGTCAGATGCAGATACCAGTGCCACAGGTGTTCAGCCTCAGACAGACAGTGCTGTGTCAGACGCGGATACCAGTGCCACAGGTGTTCAGCCTCAGACAGTGCTGTGTCACGGATACCAGTGCCACAGGTGTTCAGCCTGTCAGTGCTGTGTCAGATGCAGATACCAGTGCCACAGGTGTTCAGCCTCAGACAGACAGTGCTGTGTCAGGCAGTGATACCAGTGCCACAGGTGTTCAGCCTCAGAGAGACAGTACTGTGTCAGGCGAGGATAGTGCCACAGGTGTTCAGCCTCAGACAGACAGTGCTGTGTCAGGCGAGGATACCAGCCAGGTGTTCAGCCTCAGACAAACAGTACTGTGTCAGGCGCTGAGATACCAGTGCCACAGGTGTTCAGCCTCAGACAGACAGTGCTGTGTCAGATGCAGATACCAGTGCCACAGGTGTTCAGCCTCAGACAGACAGTGCTGTGTCAGACGCGGATACCAGTGCCACAGGTGTTCAGCCTCAGACAGACAGTGCTGTGTCAGACGAGGATACCAGTGCCACAGGTGTTCAGCCTCAGACAGACAGTACTGTGTCAGACGAGTATACCAGTGCCACGGGTGTTCAGCCTCAGACAAACAGTACTGTGTCAGACGCTGATACCAGTGCCACAGGTGTTCAGCCTCAGACAGACAGTGCTGTGTCAGACGAGGATACCAGTGCCACAGGTGTTCAGCCTCAGACAGACTGTGCTGTGTCAGACGCGGATACCAGTGCCACAGGTGTTCAGCCTCAGACAGACAGTGCTGTGTCAGACGAGATACCAGTGCCACAGGTGTTCAGCCTCAGACAGACGGTGCTGTGTCAGATGCAGATACCAGTGCCACAGGTGTTCAGCCTCAGACAGACAGTGCTGTGTCAGACGCAGGATACCAGTGCCACGGGTGTTCAGCCTCAGACAGACAGTACTGTGTCAGACGAGGATACCAGTGCCACGGGTGTTCAGCCTCAGACAAACAGTACTGTGTCAGACGCTGATACCAGTGCCACAGGTGTTCAGCCTCAGACAGACAGTGCTGTGACGAGGATGTGCCACGGGTGTTCAGCCTCAGACAGACAGTACTGTGTCAGACGCGGATACCAGTGCCACAGGTGTTCAGCCTCAGACAAACAGTGCTGTGTCAGACGAGTATACCAGTGCCACGGGTGTTCAGCCTCAGACAAACAGTACTGTGTCAGACGCTGATACCAGTGCCACAGCCGTTCAGCCTCAGACAGACAGTACTGTGTCAGACGAGGATACCAGTGCCACAGGTGATCAGCCTCAGACAGACAGTGCTGTGTCAGACGAGGATACCAGTGCCACAGGTGATCAGCCTCAGACAGACTGTGCTGTGTCAGATGCATATAGAACAACCACAGGCGTTCAGCCACAAACATACTGTGATGTGGAAGATGCAGATACCGCAAATATGCAGAAGAAATGTGTCATATCTGCCAAAACCATTGCAACAACTAGTACCACAAATATGCACGACTCTATCATGCATGATAAGGAAACCAGACCAAATGACAGTTACACATCCCAGTCAGACCACAGTCCCACTGGTGCACAGTCACACCAGACAGGTTCTTCTGTAGCTCCTGTAGAAACTAGTTCCAAGAGTTTAGAAACCGTTAATGAACCCATACCACTTAGTACAAAACAACAGACAGATTGTTTTGTACCTGGTACAGAAACCAGTGTTTCTGGTACACTGCCCAAGATAGACTGTACAGTGCCTGATATGGAACTGAGTGTAGTCGGTAAACTTGAACATTGCAGCAAGTCATTTGCAAACCATACTTCTACTGATGATATTCCGTTAGTCACAGGCAATGTAATAGAAGTTGTAGATGACAGACATGCAAGATTTGACAATGTGTTGGAAACAAACTCTATGCAGATTAAGAACAGAAATGATTCTTTATGTCGTATGGACAGAAATGTATGTGAAGACTTTGTGAAGGAATCTGGAACTGCAGATTCTGAAGGGAACGATACTCAATGGTGCTCAACTGAAGTTAGCAATGCAACTGTCTGCAGTAATGCACAGTCCGCAGAGGACACTCCAGAGTCCTGTGATGCTGCAGGACCCCCAGCAAGTCCAGACCACGGCCCGGTGCTCAACACTTCACCTAGTACAGCACACACTGGAACAAACATAATACACAATCAAACTAGTCACTCATCAGAAAGGTGCTCATCACTAACTCATGCTCATTCCAATATGGTAATCTCCGAACCTCTCAAAGAAAATATCCAAGCTGATCCTCAAATGTCAGTTGATCCTGACTCCTCACCCCTTCAGGTGGACCACTTTCAGTATACATCCTCCACATCTTGGGAAAACTCTTCAGCCAGTCACCATGGTGATGTAACAGATCCCAATGTGATGGATTCATGCCAACACATGATCTCACAAACAGAACAATATAGTACAGAAACCCCTGCTCAAATTAAGCTAGATGATCAAGGAAAGGACAGTGTGAAGGCTGATGGGCAGACTGCTCAATACTCTGATGCAAGCAAACAGTCCTCTGTGTCAAAAAGTGACCTTCTTAGCGAACCAGCTGCCGAAACAGTGTTCAATGCAAATCCTCGGTGTGATTCTTCCGACCAGACAAAAGACAGCCCAGCATCAGGATGGGATGATGATTCTGTGTTACAGCTGACCTCGATCGGGGGTCCTTCAATTAGGCAGCAAGAGGATGAAACTGAAGGTAACTGCTGTGATAAGGACAATGCAGGTTCTTATAGTAATGATGCTGATGCTGACTTTGGTGTCTGGTCCTACCCGGGTTGTGGAGAGCCTTGTCCTGACAGTGACGCCTCCTCCTCCACAACATCAGAAGAGGTGGAACTGGAACTGACATCTCAGCCAAACATCTGCCTGGATGAGGATCGAGATCTCAGTACTTTCGTCGGACCAAGCCCCTGTCTGATTTTACAGGCGTTAACAATGTCCAATGCTAATGACTTTTTCAGTTTGGAAAGATTAGAAACTATTGGTGACTCGTTTCTCAAGTATGCCATCACTGTATATCTCTACTGCTCGTACCCAGGCATTCACGAAGGAAAGCTGAGTTACCTCCGAGCAAACAAGTCAGTAATTACAATCTGTATAGACTCGGTAGGAAGCGCCGTTTGGCGGAGTGTATGGTGTCAGCCAAGTTTGAACCCTATGAGAACTGGCTCCCTCCGGGATACATCATCAACGAGAACAGGAGGAGAGGCCCGGTGCCAAGAGTGGTCATTGCTAACTCTGGCAAGAAGATGTCAAGTAATGCCAAAAAGACTGATTCCGATTCCACAGTGGCCAAATTATTCGAGGACAAGAAGAAACGAGATCGTAGTAAACTTGATAAAGCAGAAGTGTGTGATCTGATAAGTGAGAAAGAGAAATCTGAGAGTAAAGATGTATCTGAGGATTCTGAAGGAAATGTGACAAAGAAACTTGGGTGTGGTGAAATGGATGACACACTTAGAGTTGACGCTGAATCTGAAGGTAAGGTGGCCGATAATCCTGAATCTGAGAACAAGCATCTCAATAATGAGGATTGTAAAGAAAACATGTCAAAGAAACAGGAAGCAGACAAAAATAGAACTGATATGGATTCTGAAGGAAGTGTAACTGTGGAAACTGAAACTGTAAACAAGCATAGTGTTGCTGCTGTTTGTGAAGAGAGCTTAAGTGAGGATGTTGTTTGTGAAGAGAGCTTAAGTGAGGATGTTGTTTGTGAAGAGAGCTTAAGTGAGGATGTTGGTTGTGATACTGAATCTATTTATATGGAAGAGGACGATGCTCTTGTCAACACATCTGCTCCATCAAACAGTGCTGCCAGTCACACATCTGCTGATATGGAACAAACCACGACTGTGTCCACAGCAGACCATGGTGACGGGACAATAGAACAAAGTGGATGTGTGCCACCTATGAGTGATGTAGAACGTCAGAAGTTTGACCAGGAGCTTGAAGAAATTGACCTGATCCAAGAGGCCGACAAGATTGAGGACTTGACTGATGACACTCTGGCTTTAGTGCCCTACAGTCTACAGACTCAGCATGGGATTCCAGACAAGAGTGTGGCTGACAGTGTGGAGGCTCTGATTGGCTGCTACCTGACCACTTGCGGGAAGAAGGCAGCGCTGATGTTCATGTCGTGGCTGGGTCTGAAGGTGTTGCCGAGGAAGGATCAACGAGTGGGAATGGTTCGCAGGAAGGAAGGACAGCAGGTTTGTGTGATGGTGTTATTTGGAACAGGAATTTACAAAATAACTTCAAAAACACACAAATAAAAATACATTTAGGGACAAAACACATATTGTAGGGAAACTTTATCATTGGACTTATCATTATGGAAATATTTAAACTTTATTCATCTGTTTTACAGGTGCTCTTTTGATATGTTTTGGCAAAATATGTCATGGTTTGAACTCTGGATTAGAATAGGTCCGGAACAACCGATGCTTGTCGTAAAAGGTGACAAAATGGGTTGAGTGGTCAGCCTGACAGAGTTGATTGCCTATTACCTTACCTGAATGACATGGGATATTGCTCATGATATCAATCACTGGATTGTCTATTCCAGACTCAGTTTTTTACAGCTACCTTTAAACTTCTTGTCCCCCGCCACAACTTGAAATGGGGGATTATGTATTCAGCAGCGTCCATCGTACGCATTCTTATCGTGACAGCCCGATTCTTGTTAACAGACATCGAAATTCCATGCACTGTTGTACCCAATATCTTCAAATTTGGTGACAGCCTACATTGGGGGGATTACACAGACATCAGTCGATTTAGGTGACCTTGACCTTATTTTCAAGGTCACCACAACACTTTGACCACTTTTCAAACTTGTTAATGTGATATCTCATGCACTGTTGTGCCCAATGTCTTCAAATTTGGTGACAGCCTTCATTGGGGGATTATGCAGACACCAGTCAATTTGAGTGACCTTGACCTTATCACCATGACATTTTGACCACTTTTCAAACTTCTGTAAACGTGTTGTCTCATAAAATGCACCACCCAATTTTAGCCTCCGAGCTGAAGAATATATTGCCATTTCTTACAAATTTGATGTTAGGAATTCACATAACTGGTATCAGGATATGGTAGGGTAATACAGGGGTGGGGGTACCCAGGTACAGAATTTGGACCCATCCCAGCCCTAATGCAGACTGATACTGACAGTGGATATATGCATCTGCATCTATACATTCAAATGTACTCTTGTAAGTGTCCTATTTATGTGATCCATGTAAGATTTGTGAGGTTAATTTCCACCTGTTGTCTATTTCGTTAGAAGTTGACAACTCTATTTATCCACCAGGTGAGTGAGTATGAGTTTGAGGAGCTGCAGTGTCCCCCGTCGCCGCTGTTCCTGGCAGGACACCAACACGCCAACAACATGCTGATCCATCTCCTGGACGGCTACAACGTCTTCGAGGAGAAGATCGGCTACACGTTCCAGGACCGTTCTTACCTGCTACAGGCCTTCACTCACGCCTCCTACCATTACAACTCCATCACCGACTGCTATCAGAGGTACACACCATACCATACCATACTATAGTTGGGTTTTATACAGGGTTTTCCTAACACCTGATGTTGGATGATTGCATTGTTACCTCAGACTTCTTAAGATTTTGCAACTTTTTGCCACATCCAGGTTTTTGTCAATATGCAAAACAGTTCTGGTTCATGTAGGGACTATTTTCTGAGGGTAAGTGGAATACAAAATTTGTTTTACTTTGTGACTCTCTTTGATATGGTGCACTTGCTGTAAGACACACGCTATATTTCAGGCTGGAGTTTCTTGGAGATGCAATCCTGGACTACGTGATCACCCGTCATCTGTACGAGGATTCGCAGAAGTATTCTCCGGGCATCCTGACCGACCTGAGGTCCGCCCTTGTGAACAACAACATCTTTGCAGCTCTGGCAGTGAAGTGGGATTTCCACAAGTACTTCAAGGCCATCTCTCCAGCGCTGTTCCACGTCATTGAGAAGTTTGTGGCCAGACAGAAGGACAAGGAGGATGAGATTGACATTGAGGATGAGGTGAGACTTTCATAGCACCAACAACACTGTGAACTGCATGATCTGATCAAATGATGGTGCAGGGGGTATCATTCAGCAGACTGTAAATGTAGTGACTGATAACAAAGTGAACTGTATTGTACTTGGGAGTGTTTGGTGATTGGTTGTTATCCTTTGGTGATTGGTTGTTATCCTTTGGTGATTGGTTGTTATCCTTTGGTGATTGGTTGTTATCCTTTGGTGATTGGTTGTTATCCTTTGGTGATTGGTTGTTATCCTTTGGTGATTGGTTGTTATGGTTGTTATCCTTTGGTGATTGGTTGTTATCCCTTTAGTGATTGGTTGTTATCCTTTGGTGATTCCTTTGTTTATCATTTGGTGAATGGTTGTTATCCTTTGGTGATTGGTTGTTATCCTTTGGTGATTGGAACTTTGGTGATTGGTTGTTATCCTTTTGTTATCTTGTTTGGTGCTATTGGTTGTTTTTTATCCTATGTTTGATGGCTAGTTTCTTTTAGTTGCCTAGTGACGAATGGTTCTGAACCATTTTCTGTATTTTAGTTGTTTATCTTGATCATAAGTGTCCTTTGTATTTTAGTTGCCTTGTTGTTATGCCTTGTTACCCTGTGTCCTGTACAGTTGCCTTGTTACCCATGTTTTGGCTGATTTTCCTGCTAGTTGCCTTGTTACCCGTGTTTTGATAGCTGATTGTCCTGTATTTTAGTTGCCTTGTTACCCGTGTTTTGACAGATAAGGTTCCTGTATTTTAGTTGCCTTGTTACCCGTGTTTTGATTACGGTTCCTGTATTTTAGTTGCCTAGTTACCCATGTTTTGATAGCTAAGTTTCCTGTGTTTTAGTTGCCTAGTTACCCGTGTTCTGATGAATGTTCCTGTATTTTAGTTGCCTTGTTACCCATGTTGTTTTAACAGTTCCAGATGCTGGAGGATGGGGATGAGGACAGTGAGCAGGTGGAGGAGGTGGAGCTGGAGATACCTAAAGCTCTGGGAGATATCTTTGAGTCTGTTGCTGGTGCTATCTACCTTGACAGTGGCATGTCCCTGGACACTGTGTGGAGAGTGTACTACCGCATCATGCGACCCCAGATAGGTATGCAGTTCTCACACACTTGTAGTGACAATCCCATGTGAAATGGAAACCCCAAGTCTCTGATTCGCGATGTCCATAGGTCTGATTATAACAGGCTACTCTATAGATAAGTCAGGGATGTGTTCGTCAATCTTTGGTATGTGTCAAAATGTTTTGTTTTTTCAGGGTGAATGTTCTAAGGTCTCATGTACTGGCAAATAAGGATAAGTTAAGCACTGACCCGACAATTGACCCGTATAAGCATGTATGAGTGCCGCCCACTGGCACTTGCCATTTTTAGCAAAGGGGCTCCAGGTTGACCGCGATCAAGTGTAGTGGGACTTGCTACACCGACGTGAGAGTCTTATGAGCAAGGCATGTGCAGCTACACGCGGAATCAATTTCATCATCATGCAATGCGCGTACACTAGCCTACATCTGCTCTATCTTTCACAAACCAAATGGGTTTGCTCATTGCCGTGCACCGCCTACTTCTCGTAAACGCGTTCGCTGCGCCGATCCAACTTATCCTTGTTTGCCAGTAGTTTTCAGTATCATCTTTGCCTTGACAATCCACAGGTATGATGCAAACGTGTAAACCAGGTAAAGAATTCATATAATATCGCCGACAAAAGATCACCAAATCTTTTTATGTTATTCCAGAAAAGTACCTGAAGAGCATCCCCAAGTCTCCTGTGAGAGAATTATTGGAGCTGGAGCCTGAGACAGCCAAGTTCGAGTGAGTTGTCTCCCCTGTGTGTGCAGGAGTTGGTTCATATGGTTAGACTTCATGACAGCATGGAATGTTGCTGATAATATCACTCACCAGTTTGCCTTGTCCACACTCAATTATTTACGACACCTGAAAAGATAGTCTTCTGTTAGAATTGGTCTTCAGCAACCCATGCTTGTCGTAAGAGGCGACTGATGGGATTGGGTGGTCAGACTCTTTGACTTGGTTAACACATGTCATCATATCCCAATTGTGTAGATTGATGCTCATGATCAGCGGATTGTCTGGTCCAGACATGATTATTTACAGACTACACTATATAGCTGGAAAATTGCTGATGTTGCCATTAAACAACAAACAAACAATTATTTACGAGCTGTATACTATCTCATGTAGCTGGAATATTGCTTGTGGGACATAAACAACAGACAAACAAATAGATATTTGTATGAGGTGTATACCTTTTACAAAGTACATAGCATCAATTTGGAGCATCTGTTTTCAGGAAACCTGAACGCACAATGGAAGGAAAGATCCGAGTGACAGTGAATGTGGTAGGCAAGGGAGTCTTCAGTGGTATTGGCCGCAACTACAGAATCGCAAAGAGTGCTGCTGCCAAGAAAGCTTTGAGAATCATCCGCTCTATGCAAATGGGAGGGCTTGAGTGATGTCCATATGCTCAGCAAGTCTGCCTTGACCTGTGACCTCTTCATGCCATACCTCAGTCTGGACTGTAGTCCCAGCTAACTGACCATGCCTTCCAGTCTTCTGTCCACTGACTGACCAGGCCTGGGAGTTTTCTATTCAAGGTCCCTGATGAGATGGGACATCTTTTGACCTTGACCTTCATCATCGTATAGACACTAGCTAAAGTCACTGACATTTTGAAAATATATATGTTTTATTTATGAGAACAATGGTTCATAAAGTTGAAATTGTAAATATTCGGAATTTAGATATGAGATTAACAGAATTAAGGTATAAGATATATCACACTTACATGTATATGTTATGATGACTAGGGGTGAAATAGTATACCAAGGTATTAGTAGAACCGCGGTAATTTGCCTTCGGTTCGGTATACCGTAATGCAATCCAAAAATTCTCGGTTTTATCTAGTCATAAAATGACAGTTTTGTTCATTCAAAATAACAAAGATTATGGTTATTTTTTTCCATGTTATTAAACAATGTAAGGTTTGGTTCTTTTTGTCAATTTTCTGCATTATGATCACATCTAATATACCGAACCGAACATCTTGTACCGCAATACGTACCGTACCATGGTAAGAGCGTACCGTTTCACCCCTAATGATAACCAGTTTGTGTTGTAATATTATAAGTTTTCTAGAATCTAGAGTCAGGGTTGTTGGAAAGTAAAATTAATCATACACTCTACTGTTCAAAATGAATGTCTTCCTGATCACAACTATGGCTCAGTCACAGATATGATTCAAGGGATGTTATTTTTTAACAGTAGTGTAGCTCTAGTCAAGTGTCCTGGAACTGGACGTGCTGTATTGAGTCCAGTCGTTCAGGATATTGTCGCAGGTTAGTTTTACCCTGGTACCCTGTCGCTGAAAAATAGTGCATTCAGAACATATATTTATGTTTATTTATTTTTGTGTTGTTGAAATAGTAAAACAAAAGTTGAACACGATTGTCATGATGGTTTGGGACAAAGAATTGTAAGCCTGTCACAATATACTTTGTTACAATATGTTTCTCAATAGTCGCAATATGTTTGTTGACATTCTTGATACGTTCTTGATAGTCAAGATATGAATCTTGATAGTTATTGTACATTTCTCGGTAGCCAGGATACGTGATACCAAGCATATTGAGGATTCTTGTTTTGAATAGAAGATCAAGAGACAACATCCAAATGAATTTTCTTAACTGATTTAGCTTTTGTTTTATATATGAACTGGCTTCTGACCTCTTATACATTCTGTCGGAGATAGTATTTAGTGCTTTGTCTCTGATGTCATATCTTCCTCTGCATTGTATTGTCAATTGTATTGGTGAGCTTATCATGACAGAGCAGATCTTAGTATAGCGTATCATGGTCTTATCAAAGTGTAATGAGGTACAACAGATCTTAGCAAAGTGTATTAAGGCATCACAGATCTTAGCAAAGTGTATTAAGGCATCACAGATCTTAGCAAAGTGTATTAAGGCACTGCAGATCTTAGCAAAGTGTATTAAAGCACAGCAGATCTTAGCAAAGTGTATTAAGGCACAGCATATCAGAGCAAAGTGTATTAAGGCAGAGCAGATCTTAGCAAAGTGTATTGAGGCACAGCAGATCTTAGCAAAGTGTATTGAGCCACAGCAGATCTTAGCAAAGTGTATTGTGTCACAGTAGATCTTAGCAAAGTGTCTTGTGGTACAGAGGAACTAAACAAGCATATTGTGGCAAAGAACATTTCGTGGTACCGCAGGGAATGTTGCAAATCATAACATAGTACAGCGGATCTTAGCAAACTGCATTGTCAGACAGCACATCTGAGCTACGTATATCATGGCACAGCAGATCTTGGCAAAGCGTTGCATGATACAACGAAGGTCTTAACATGGCACACTGGATCTTAGCAAATCGTATCTTGGTACAGCAGATCCGAAACTAGCCTATCATGGTACAGCGGAACTTAGCAAAGCATCCTGTAACAGTGGTTCTAGCTGAGCATATTGGGACAAAGGGAATCATGGCAAAGTATATTGTGGCACGTATAGTTGTGATCAGCCAATATTTTACTTAGTCAGTTGCAGGCCTTTTAAGAGACCGTTCATAATTTATGGCTAGGGAGTGTGATGATGATTTTGGGGTGGGGTGTGTGTCCCACCCGTTTCATTCTGGCTAGGTAGGGGGTCATCAATTTTGTACACATAAACTAGGGTGGGTCAGCAATATTGTACATAAAACTACTTAAAAGTTAAGGGTGGGGTGGGGGTGGTGGGTGTTCCATTGGCTTTGTACATGGGGGGGGGTCCACTTTGTAAATGAAATTTGGGTGTGTGTGTTTGTCGTACACACATCATACATGATTCTCCATAACAATCATCACCCCACAACCCCACAAAAAATTATGAATGGTCCCTAATGTTATACTTCTGCAAACATACATTTAGTCGTGTCCCTCTTTTTGTGTCTTTGGATGTAAAGGCATATTTTTTGGTTAAATGAACTTAGCTGAAGCATCTGAGACATAATTTGATCACTGAGACCTGAATCATTCCACAATCCAGGAAGTCTTGTGTAGGAGCATTTGGTGTTGTGATTGCAAGTGATGCTGATTGTAGCTTAGTCATGGATTCTGGTTCCATTGTTTTGACATTCCCATGAAATAGATGAAGCTACATTTTTTTTATAAATCACTATTTTCAGTGTTTTGAAACTATCAGATAGTTTTAGTCAATATAGATATATATATATATGTGGTTGTTAATCAGTCATTTGTCATATACTCAGGGGTAGAAATAACTTTAAAATTGCTAGTGTACTCCGGTACAGTGGCACATGTAAAATCACTTGCCCTGATAATTTTTCCACAATACCGGCCGTTTTCTTGTTGATTTTTTAAATAAACAACATAATTAACATTGGAAAGTCAACTGGACACCGGTACAGTGTGATATACAAATTTGCTTGCCCAACAGAAAAATACACTGGACTCGGACGTCGGGCAATGGGTTATTTCCACCCCTGATACTGACCACCAAAAGAAACGCAATTTAAGAAATGAAAACAATTGTGTTAAAGTATCAAATCCAAACTCATGCTGAAAAAGTATAATTTCCATGAATTCTGAGTTGCGTTTTTATTGCTGGTCAGTATATATACTAAGTATGTGTTAGTCATGCTTGTTATGCAAACATCTGTAAAACTGATCAACATGTTTCTCATATTGAAAACATGAAATTAGTATTTTCTGTGTGAGATACAGACATTTTTCTAAATAGACTTTTGGGCCTTTTTCATTAATATGTTTTTTTTCTACAAGTTTCTGAAGAGTAACTTCAGTAGTAAGGTAAACAAATAATATGTTGCTTTTGAAAATGCAGATCATAGGACTCTTCCCTTTCTTTATTTTGTATGGTCATTCAGTAATTTCATACCTAACTGACACGGCATAAAACAAACTCACACAAACTTTTAGTTTCATTTTACCATTTTGGAATTTTTGTCCTGCAGATTTAAGTAATTACTAAATGATTATGTGAACAGTGTTCTACTTAATTCAGAGGTATCTACCAGGCTCCTGTTCCACGGGGCAAGCTTAGTACTCTGACTATCCCTGTCGGTGTTAATGTATGGGAGCTAGGCCGTCTTAGTGCTAAGATTGCTATGTGGAACTGGGCCCAGCACTTGTATCCAAGTCAGTGCATCTTATATTTACTGGAACTTAATGTTTACAGCCTTGAAGTTAGATGACAAGGAACCCTTCTGTGTAGCCATGTTAGAAGTTGTACAGAAAACAGCATAATGGTGCTTTCTGCACGATTTGTTTACTTAAACGAACTGTATGCAAAAATGGAAACACTCTGAATCTGTTGTATGTAGATTAGATGAGGTTACAGCAGGTTAATTAATTGTTTGTTGATTACAATATCGGGTTCATGTATGGGATAAACGTGTGAAAATGTATTGTGATTCACAGGGCCCAGTCATTCAAAGTGATCGTAGCGCTAAGATGATCGTAACTCCCATACTTTAATATAGACTTACGACTGTCGTAGCGCTACGACATTAAATATAACCATGAGATGTACGGTATTCTCTGTATTGTCCATTGTTGATAATAATTCTGCTGACAGCTTGAAGGTATCACTTTGTGAATTCTTGCAACCATATGCATAGACACCATTTTGAAAATATGCGACACAGAGAAAAAATATCATCTTCAGTGGACTATAAGGGACTGTTGAACAGTTTATGTTAGAAATTACTGTGTTCAATCTTTATTAACATGCTGAGAATTCCTGTTTCTTGAAGATGTTTTCTGGATATTTTTGGTGTTGAAGATTTGACAAACAAATGATTAGCTTACTGTGGCCTCAAATAGGGTAATGTTTTCATGATATGTTGACGTGTTATGAATTTGTTTATTGTATGTCAATGTCATTTATACCCGATTCAGTTTCACAAGTGCTGTTACCATGGTTACATAGTCACTGTTGAATCTTGTCACGTGTTTTGTACATTTAACTTATACTATTTTATGAACAATGTATGTACAAATAGTGCTTGCAGATGAAGGAAGTTGTCTTTCATGGATAGCGTTGATGTTTGTGAGTTTTGAAATGGCATGTTGGGTCTTAAAACATCATTGGTAAAATTCCATTGGGTTCGTATTTCAGCCCAGTTTGTTGATGGCGTCATACTAAAAGTATACCAGACAATGACCGCATATTTAACAGATATAGAATATCCATTATCTATCATATTTTCATTGAGACCATTTTCACACTTTTAGATGTTTTATTGGTATCTTAACGATGTTGCTAATCATGATTTGCTTGTGATGTCAATCATCATATCAATCATATCAATCATGGATGATTCTGCTCACGTCTTTAGTTGACATTTTCTCAATCAAGTATGTTGACAAATATCAGATATTGAAATCTCTTTATTAAAAATATGGCTAATGTTGTTGATATTGCATTTGCTCCGCCTATATATAGGCTTGACAAGGCTTGTATATACAGACTTGACTTGTATGTAAGGCTTGACATGGATCCTAAATATAGGCTTGATCTGGCTCTTGTATACAAGCATGACATGGCCCCAGTATATAGGCTTGACATAGTTCCTATATACAAGGTTGACATGTCTCTTATGTAAAGGCTTGACTTGGCTTGTATATACAGGCTTGACAGGCTTGACTTGGCTTGTATATACAGGCTTGACAGGCTTGACTTGGCTTGTATATACAGGCTTGACATGGAAAAAGATTCCTATATGCAAGGTTGACATGTCTCTTATATAAAGGCTTGACTTGGCTTGTATATACAGGCTTGACTTGGCTTGTATATACTGGCTTGACATGGGTGTTACATACAGGTTTGATTTGGCTTGTATATACAGGCTTAACATGGGTCTTACATACAGGCTTGACTTGGCTTGTATATACAGGCTTGACATGGAACAAGATTCCTATATACAAGGTTGACATGTCTCTTATATAAAGGCTTGACTTGGCTTGTATATACAGGCTTGACATGGAACAAGATTCCTATATACAAGGTTGACATGTCTTTTATATAAAGGCTTGACATGGCTTGTATATACAGGCTTGACTTGGCTTGTATATACAGGCTTGACATCGATCCTAAATTTAGGCTTGACATGGCTTTTATTTATAGGCTTGACATGACCCTATATACAAGGTTGACATGTCTCTTATATAAAGGCTTGACATGGCTTGTATACACAAGCTTGACTTGACTTGTATATACAGGCTTGACATCGATCCTAAATATAGGCTTGACATGGCTTGTATTTATAGGCTTGACATGACCCTATATACAAGGTTGACATGTCTCTTATATAAAGGCTTGACATGACCCTATATACAAGGTTGACATGTCTCTTATATAAAGGCTTGACATGACCCTATATATAAGGTTGATAAGCTCCAATGATGTTTGACATTACACTTAATTAGCCTGTATAGATTATAGTCTCTTCCATGATCAAAACACAGGGTTACACGATAACCAAGTATGTGCCATGACATTTGTAATTAGTTTTGTCTTGATTGTTTTTCATGTAAAGTTTATATATGACCCAGTTTGTTTCGCGTGATGGTGCATGAGGTTTACCCAGCTGTGACAAGCATGATGTTGGTAGCGTACAACATTATTTGTTTTTCTCTTTCCCTCCTATAGTATAACTCTGTTTTGGAGACATAGATAACTTAAGGCAGCAGGAATGGAAGTATGGAGTATACAGGACGTTACCTGTAAATGCTGGGTCCAGGCTTAGTTTGGGAGTGTGGTGTGAGATGGGAGGGATGGGAGGGTATGAGGTGCTTCTCATGACTGATCTCTGTGACACTGATGAGTGTAGGATATTCTGGGATAGTATTGAATGTCAGCAATATCTGCTGTGTCTTTACTCTCTTCACTAAGGACATACAATCACACTGTATATGGAGTGTTCTCTTCATGACCATCTTGTCAAAATATTTGGGGTAAAATATGCCAAATTATGGATTTCAAGTAAACATTTCTTGGTCAAATTATTCTTCTACTCATGGTCATGGGGTACCGGTATATAATATTTTGGGTAAAATATGATGTAGAGTTGTGGTTTTCAATTCCAAATTTCTTGGTGAAATGTTTTTAGAAATAACGACCCTTGCCTCTGAGTACTGCCCGTGCTCATGGGGTGAGCTCTCCTCCATCATTAATCTGACATGCCCATTCGTGACCAACTCGTGTTATTCCGGGACAAGCCGAATAGCGACTCGTGCCCCTCTGGAAGGATTTCATATTGGCCCATAACACCAGAACTACTTTAAACAAGAACGATAACTCTATTCCTGTTTGATTCCAATAGTACGTGAAATCACCGAAGCAATGTTTTTGTTTTTGCATACATTGTCTTGGTGTTTTTGTTTTTGCATATGTATTTTAAAGAACTAAACCTCACAACTGAAAGAAGAAAATATATTTTAAAGACATATTCTGATGTAAATATTACCAGCTGTTCACCTTATATTTCCAATTGTATATTTCTAAATAGGGTTTGATAATCACAAATGGGATTTGTTTTATTGAATATGCAAATAAAATATACAAAACTCAGCTACATTAAATCCCAAAGCAGATACTCAAAAATGGCTCACAAACTGAACATTCGTGTAACCTTTCTGTCATACCCCTGGTGGAATTTTGAATGGATTCGCTGAAAAAAAATATGAATGACCAAACACAAGTCAGAATAACATATCCCCAGAGATGTGAAATATAAGCCCAGTGTTAAAGATTAAAGTTGATTAGTTACATACAGATATAATATTATTGTTTTGAAACTCGTAGCGATGTATAATTACATTTTCTAAAATTGTTGGAGCACCCATACAATCTCAAAAACAAGCATGCAAGATCGTGAGAAATACACTCAATTGGACATATGAGAGCTGTTATGTCAACAAACGCACGTGCATTGAATCTCTTACTCTTACTGTGAACCGCATTATCCTTACTAAAATCTACTTGAGGCAACACAGTTCTGTTAGCTACGTTCTTTGTACTTTCAATATGACGATACATATTTTTCATGATTTTTTAAACAAACACATAATGCCATAAACGATTTAAGTACTGGGGATTATTTTTATCAAAGCACCGCAGTCATTACGCACGTTCTGATTGGGTTGTCACACATAACAAACTTTGAGACGGGGATGAGTCTTCTTGGAGGTTACGGAAAGGGGTGAGTGGTGACGAATGTGACATGTCAGAACAGACTTCAAAGCATTGTACATCCCATTACAATAAGATGAGAAAGATGAAAGTATATCGGGTTAAAATAGTCAGCATTATGACCAGTCTCAGTAAACTTAGTCTCAGTATTAATCGTTACACTGCTAGACTGAGTCTAACAAACCCTAGTAGAAGGTCGCGTCAGCTAACCTTTGAGTGACGTATGACCGTCCATTCAAACGCGAGCCAGACGAAAGGATTTAAACAATCAGACAACGGCTACTTGTTAGGGTTCAACGAGACTCACAAAATGGTGTCGCTGACACTGATCTCTCAACAAATTAAAATTTGCATAAAACACAGATATTTGACCTGCAGTATATACGCTTAGGGATTTCTTATGACATGGTTACTATTAGCTTATATTTCCGTAAGATGACTTCCTGGAATATTGACAAAAACGCTATTTTCAGCGACTGTTTACTGTGTTGCGTCCTCCATGTGTAACACTTGGAAGCGATCCTGCGGAAAATAGCATTCGGAATCATTCGAGTTTTCGAGGTAAAAGTTCAGACTTTCGCAATTTGGTTCTGAGCTGTGTTCTGATTGGTCAATTCAAAAGGTTAGCTGACGTGACCTATTAGGGTTTGTTAGACTCAGTATAGCAGTGTAACGATTAATACTGAGACTAAAGTTTACTTACACAGCATTATAACAGTCTCAATATGTCTAAAGAGTGTGAGGAAAGTTAAGGATTCCAGGATACCAGCCCAGTGTAAGATGAGGACGGCAATATCCACATGAGATTACTCAGATTGGGCTAGAAGTTGGTCAGTGCCAATTGTTGGGGGAGGGTGCTTAATGTGACATGACCTGTTAAAACATTACAGGTTTGTTTGATTTGCCTCATATCAATTAATTTAGGTGTGACCTCTGACAGTTTGTGGCAATGAATTTGAAGAATCTCTAAACATTTCTGTACACAGTGCAATATGTGCTGTGATTGAATTCACAACTCATGTTCTCATTCATTTCTTCATTTCTTCACAATCTGAGCCCTACCGACTGCAGAACAAGGGTTTCTGACCAGACCTGTATGCAAAATAATGATGGGCACCAACATATCAGTCTCAATGTATCCTTGTTTGGGGGCTTATCTGACCTCATACTGCTGAAACGGGATGAAACATTGACTGAAGTTAAGAAAGTCAGAGTTATCTCCCATTGCTTGGTTATTGAACAGCATGTTCCCTAGAGGCCAGTCACTTGTTGCTGTTGGCCATTTGCCAACCTTGCTCCCTTACTTGCATACAGGCAGTGATTATCTAAACAGTTGTGTAATAAGTAAACATTCATTGCATATACTGAAGATCCTTGAATTTTGATGAAATATTTGAGTGAAAAAATATGATTATTTTCTTCTTTTTTAAACTTCTCATTTAAGAAGAGGTGAAAGATTTTGTTTCAAGGTATTTTTGTTTTGAATATATGTGGGTAATATTTTGATCTGTTTACTTAAAGATTTAGAAGTAGAGCTGTTTGAAACAAAATTGAAAAGGCTTTATGCATTTATCTCTCTGCAGTAAATAAACGCTATCCATAATTAACACCAAGTCCAAGGGCTTTACAAAATTGATCTTTGGTGGCATTCATTCAAGGATTTACAACATTATCTGCAATGTGGCCATATTTTTAACACAGTACTGAGTCCTCATAGTGAAATGTCTAGGGATGCCACGATGCATCGATACTTTTTCTAAGATGATACAATTATCGATACATTCAAAACTGTATCAATATTTAGTTTTGAAAGTACCGGTTTAATTGTGTTTATGTATCATTTACATTTTGCAATTGTATCATGTTTTTTTATGTTATGAGAGTTATAAATGATTATGTTTCATGCACAAAGATGGGAAATTAGAACTTTTTTATCTCTGAGAATCAAAAATGTTGATCTTTTCATGGACAATTATAAAATATGAAATATTAATGTCCAAAATGTATCTAAATTTATGCAATAATGCCGTGAAAATAGGTATTGTGATGCGTATCAAATCGTGACATGGGTATCATGATACATATCGATTCATGAATTTTATGTATCGAGACATCCCTAGAAATGTCTGTAGACATTTGGTGAATTAAAATTCCATCTACAAAAGTGTCAGTGGTTCAAGTTTGACACAATCGTTCATTGTTACTATTTTGCACCATTTCATCAGTTTGAGCATAGGGCACTGTTACCATGGTTACTCAGATTATATTCATGTTTGACTTACAATATGCATTTGTTACTGGAGGTGCTTTACTTAACAATGTTTGTTACATTGCCACTGTTAGAGTGTTCTGGTTCAGGACAGTAGTGATGACTTGGGTGCTCATTAAATACAACATTGTTTTAACACAGTCCAGTCAGTCTCATAATGGTATCACTTAGTATCAGCCATTACATCTCTCATGCTGTTATACTACTCAAAGAAGTTAAACAATGTCCAGTTATTAATCATGTCATGAGATATACTTTAGCTTATGACTATTGGTGTTCTTAATTTCTCTTGAGTAGTATATGTGGGGCCCATTGGGCAGAATTAGTCAGGGAATGGATGTGTTTTTCGAAGGGTGTTGCAAAAGCTACACAATTGAAATACAGACTCTCAGTAAGGTGTAAATATTAGAGAAAGCCCATGCATTTGTTTATTAGTATCTGAAAAACCGAACATGGAGGTACTTGTACACGGATGTTCTTACAAGAACCTGACCAGCCTTTGTCGAATGTCTGAAGCATTGACAACAGCAGGATAGGCCTGGGATGGTGGCTTGTTTTCATAAATGACTTCTTCGTAGAGTTAAAATGATCTCCAACTAATTTAACAAAGAACATAAAGTTGTACGTATGATATCAGGGCAACTATTATAAATAACTGAGAAGTGTCCCCCGAAGATGTGTATGTTATATGTGAAATTTGCACAAGGAGACAAATTAGCTGACACTTTCAACAATGTTACGTGAACTCTTTGCATCCTGTTCTACATCTTCTGTGTTCCTGGTTTCGTTGTAACTGACTCCCGCCATTTAGCTGGAATATTGCTGAGTGCGGCGTTAAACAAGAAATCCAAACAAAACTGACTCAATCACACTGTGTGCGAACCTCAATGAATACTTCAGTCATCAGGGCCCCGTTTCACAAAGCTATCGTAGCGCTACGACTGCCGTAAGTCGATGTTACAGTATAGGAGGTACGACAGTCGTAGCGCTACCATAGCTTTGTGAAACAGGGCCCTGATCTTTTGACAAGCAACTTTCACACTATCCATTTTGACATCTTAGATTTCTTCATTGATGGGCTTGAATTGTTTCATCGAAGGACATGGCAGCATGAGAAATGTTCTTCTCCGTGTTCGTCTCTTGGTCCCACTTGACCCAATGAAGTCAGTCAGTGTCAAAGATTTCTGTCCTAATTTCGATCGAACAACAAACCACCAAATCCTTGGAAATTTTTCTTAACATATTTTTCCTAATTATTTGCTTATTCAATCTGTGCCAATACATAATGTTCCTATATGCCAAAATTGTCTTTCAGCAGGAATTTTCGACCTACTTTGTTGTGAACACATAGACTTTATTTGTTTGCTTGGTTTGGTTTGGCAGTTGCTCTATGTTTGCTGCTTAATATAAACACCATGAACTTTGTACTTAATTTGTTGATTGCTTACTGCAGCTTAGATATGCTTACTTAAGTGTTAATTAAGTGTTTAATATTGGCCTCGTAGCTTACTTAACCATAAACAGATC